GGGCTGGCGGCGGATGGGGTCGGCTGGTCACCTACTCACCATTGTAGGAAACCCAGAACTGCTTCTGAGGGAGCAAGAGGAAGCCGTGTGAGACGTGGGCGCTGGGGCAAGCTTTATGTCCCTGCAGGGGAGCTGCCGGAGCGGGCTGGGGCAGAAGCCACACCGCGCCTCTGGAGATGGGTGGGTTCATCCAGGGAAGCGAGTCTTTTCTCTAACACCCGCCCCTCCCGTTGCTGAGGCCACAGAGGTCCACATGGCCTCTCCCAAGTCCCACCCCCAGGCTTCAGCCGCAGCCCTGCCAAGTCAGAGCTGTGAACGTGGATGAGACCCCACGCTCCCCGAGCCTCTGGGGCCTCCCCCAACGCTTCGCTGACCGTCCAGACACCCGCTGACCGAGGAGAGTGTGGGAAAGACACGCGTGGGTGCCCTGCCAGTTTCAGGGGCGTCTCAGTAACTGTGACTCCCCAGGGATCTTTAGGCCAAAGAAAAGCAACTCACAGCGTTACTGTGAGAATAAAACAAGGTGAAAACTGTTGGAAGGTTCTGAAAACCACAACCCACTCCAGTATTCTGGCCTGGAGAATCTCATGGACAGGGGAGCCTGGCAGGCTAAAGTCCTTGGGGCCGCAGAGAGTCAGACACGCCTGAGCGACTCAGCACAGCTGCCGCTAGTGGTAAAGAGCCTGCCGGCCAAGGCAGGGGACGTCAGAGACGCGGGTGCAGTCCCTGGGTGGGGAAGATCCCCTGGAGGAGGGCACGGCGACCCCCTCCAGGGCTCCTGCCTGGAGAATCCCGTGGACGGAGGAGCCTGGTGGGCGACAGTCCATGGGGTCGCAGAGTCTGACACAGACTCCAGGGGTGGCCATCCCGAGCGCGCCTGGGAAGGGGCGTGTGAGCCCTGCCCTGCGAGTGTGACGTGTGTCCTGTGTGTGTGAGACGTGTGTCCTGCGTGGGGTGCCCCCGAGTGTGCGGGGAGAGGGGGTCTTGTCTCCTGGCCTCCTGGTCCTCAGCCCCCCGGAAGGAGTTCATTTCAGTGGAAGGAGGCAGTCTCAGCAGGCCTCTCTCTGCTCTTGGACGGGACCTGGGGGGGAACAGGCTCCCTAGGTGCGCCCTCCTCACTGGTGCATCCTGGAGCGGCCCTGCCCGGGGTCTCCTCCGAAGGCCAGGGTCCCCCAGGGCTGTTGGACAGGCGGCCCTTCCCAGGGCCTGGATGGCTTCCGGGGATGGGGGGGGCCTTCCTCGGGGGGGCGGGGGCACAGGAGACTGAGGCTCCGGACGAGGGGTGAGGACGTGCAAGGGGCACAGCGCCCAGAGCCTGCCGCCCACCCCGGCACGCCGGAGCTCACCGTCCGCTCCTCGTTGCGGAAGATCTCGCGGGCCTCCTCGAAGGAGCAGAGCTCCTCCCGGCACTCCCGCTCCAGCGAGCCTGGCCGCAGCTCCTCCAGGAACCCGCTGGCACGCCGGGGCCGGTGCAGGACGCCGAGGGCCTGCTCCTGGGGCAGGAAGACTGAGGGGGCGCACTGTGAGACGCAGGGGCGCCAGCACCGTCCCCCCACCGGTGACAGCACCATTCCCACCGCCCCGCCCCGGCCCCCCAATGATGGGATCACAGGCCTCACCCCCCCCAGTAGTGGGATCACAGACCTCCCACCCGTCCTTCCCCCGTGATGGGATCACAGGCCCCTTCCCCCCGCCCCCCGCCATGGGCCGGCTGGTTTGCAGCAGGAGCGTTCCTCACAGCTGCCAGTGGGCGATACTGCACACGCTTCATATGTGAGGAGAAGGCAATGTGTTCAATAAACTATAACAACATGTCCACGCCCTTGACCGGGTCCCTTCACTTCCAGTTTATCCTGAGGAGATGCTCTGAGCCCCGCAGACACCCGGCCGCTGGGAGAGCTGGAGACACATCACTGGCAACACTAACGACTCACGCCCGGCGATGCCAGGTGAACAAAGAAGACAGTTAAACAGGAAGGACCCGGGTGCCGCCAGCCCTGGAGCAGGGCTGCGGGCAGGGAGGGACCCCGTGGCCAGCCGTGGGTGCCGGGGCAGACGTGGACGGGTTTCAGGGGACAGTGTCGGTGCCTGGCTTCCACCTCGGCCACCCCTGGGGGCTGTGGAGTCACCGTGGTGACTGCTCACAGAGCCACCCGCCCGTGTTTCCCACTGAGGCCTCTCCGCGTCCTCGGGCGGTGGTCGTGGTCACCGCCACGGCGGCCGAGCATCAAGGCGCAGCGTCTGCGCCCTGTCCCTGGGGTGGGTCCCCCCGCGAGGGGCCGAGATCCAAGTGGGAGGTGGGTCACCTCTGAGCCCGTGTCTGGGCCTGGGGGGCAGTGAGGGCAGGGGAGGGCCTGCCGTGGCCAGGGTGCCTGCCCCCATTCGTCTGGGGGAGGATTCCCGTGGCCTGTCCTCCAGGGGCTCCGCTCGTCCTTTGAAAGGCAGGCAGGTCACAGAGGACCCACCAGCCAGGCTCCCGGCAGATGGGAGCGCCCACCATGTGGGCCAACTTTGGGGGTGGCTGGCCTTCCACGGGGTTAATGGGGAGCCCCCCTCCACTTACCTGCCGGCAGGGACCCCCGCAGGCCAAGCAGAAGGCAGAGGAGGGCCAGCACCCGGGCCCAGGACAGCATGGCCAGATCCTAGGCCACTCAGCCTGTTGACTCTCCGGGGGGCGGGGGGCGGGCAAAGTTCTCCCAGAGCCGGAGATGATGGGGGAGGGGGCCTGGCCTCCAAGCCCGCAGTGCGGTCCTGGCCCGGGGCCTGCGGACGGGGGCTGGCCAGGCGCCCCAAGGCCTCTGTTCGTAAGACGGCTCGGGACGCGTGTCTGGAGGGCACCGCTCCAGTGTGGCTGCTGGGGGAGAGCGGCGCCCGCCGCCCCGTGACGGTCCCAGCAGGGCGGCATGCTTGCGGGGTGGTGGTGAACATGGTGCAGAGCGGCGCTCCTGGCTCGGGGGCCTGGCTTCCCTGCTCGGGGGGCACGGGGGAGAGGCATGCCCCGAGGAGCCCCTGTGGGGTCTCAGCCCCAGGCTGGCCCCTTGTGCTTTCCTGCCCCGGGGCCGCGGGCAGGGGTGACCAGCTGCCCCGGCTGCTGGGCACGGGCGGGTTTCTCAGGACCCTGGGCTTTCGGGACGCAACCGGGACGTCCGGGGCCACTGGGCTGGCAGTCTCCCATGAGGCTCCCTCGGGCATCCAGCCTCCTCGGGAGGTGCCCCTTCTGTCTAAACGGTGGGCTGGGGACACCCTTCCTCTTTGTGGGGGTGACGGGGCCCAGCTGTCTGTCTGTCCTGGGCGGTCCCTCCCCGAGAGGACGACAGCCCCCTACTGATGGCCTCTGGACTCTGCTTGTCACTATCAGTAACCGCTCGGTTGCTCAGGATCCAGGTATAGTGGAATTTGTGAAGGAGGTGGGGGGAACTCCGAGCCCCTTGGGGACATGTGAGGCAGGTGTAGCCGCTGTGGGCTCAGCCCCCTGGGGGTCCTGGCTCCATCTTCTCCAGCTCTGGAGGGGCTCACCCCTCTGAGCCTCGCTCTCCTCACGGGGCAGGGGCACTGGAGAGGCCGGCTGAGAGCTGGGGGTGCCCTGTGTCCTGTGATGGCTCCGAAAGGGTCCCCAGCACCCCCGCCGTGAGTGGCCAGTGCCCTAGCTTCCTCCCGCCCCGGCCAAGAGCCTCGCAGTCACTGGATTCCTTGTGTGCCCCTCTAGCTGCCCACCCAGCCCCACACCCAGGGGCTCCCAGCCACAAGAACTAGCCTGTCCCTCCGAGGCTCTGCGGAGGGTCCTTCCTGCCCCTTCCAGCTCCCGAGGCTCCAGTGGCCTTTGGGCCCAGCTGTGTTGAGCGGACAGTTTCTGCCTCCGCCACCCTGTGTGTGTGTGAATCTCCTGCTGCTTCTAAGCACACCAGTCATTGGACTGGAGACACTGACCCCATGGCAACCTGCTGCTCCTGCAGTGACCCCATGTCAACATGCAGTGGCTGCAGTGACCCCATCTCAACCTAATGCACCTGCAGTGACCCCATCTCAACCTGCAGTGCCTGCAGTGACCCCGTCTCCACCTGCTGCATCCTGCAGTGACTTCTCAACCTGCACCACCTGCAGTGAGCCCATCTCAACCTGCTGCATCTGCTGTGACCCCATCACAACCTAATGCACCTGCAGTGAGTCCATCTCAACCTGCTGCATCTGCAGTGACCCCATCTCAACCTAATGCACTTGCAGTGACCCCATCTCCACCTGCAGTGCCTGCAGGGACCTGTCTCCACCTGCTGCACCTGCAGTGACCCCATCTCTAAGCAGGTTGCTTTCTGGTGTTCCGGGGAGTGGGGGCTCTTAGGGGCTGCTCTCAGCCCAGAGCCCCTGGTTTCCCTTGAACAGAGCTGAGTTGTGCCTGTGTTTGTAGCCACACATGCGGCATCCCGAGCACAGGACCAGCAGGGACGAGGCTCCTCCTGCGGCTTCTCCAAGCATCACCACTGAGCCGGCTTCCACAGGCAGACGAACTGCGGGCAGGGGTGTCGGCATGCATTAGGTGAATGTGAGGGGCAGAGACCCTCAGGTGTGGGGGATGGGGCCCCATGGCAGCCCAGGGGGACTTGGCTTTGAGGAGCCACTGGTCACCTGGCGTTGCACCCTCTCTCCCAGCGGCCTGGTCTTCTCAGTGGCCGGTGGTTGAGCAGGTGCAGACCTCACCTTGACCTGCTCCTGCAGGAGGGCGAGGGGGCACAGGCGCTGGGGCCCGCGGGGAGAAAGGCTGTCACTGTGCAGAGCCTGGGGCCTGCTCACTTGCGCTGGGCTCTGGGGGCATTCCAGTGAGGGCGACCCTGGCTTCACCACCCAGTTTCAGGCCCTGTGCCTTTACAGACGAAGGCAGACTGCAAGAGTTGCCAATATTTATTCAAACTCCATCCATACAATAAAGAATTCTGACTTTTAAATTTCATTTACATCAGAAGGTTAAACAAACAAATGTGACTGAAACATGAGGTTTTAAAGTGCCTTTATGAGGAAGAGGTGACAGAAATGGGGCCAATCCCAGGCTGACACAGCAGGAACGATGTCTGAACAGTCAATATATTAAGTAAATTATGTGACTCATCATTTTCCAAATAACTTACACACTTCCGGAGAAGAGCTGCGGAGCTTGCCCGCCGTCTACTACAGGGTTCAGAGAGGCCTGACCCGCCCGCCGACGGGGGGCCCGCGGCGGGGCTGCAGTGGCCTGGGGCTCGGGGGCCGCGACCTGACACATTGCCAGCAGCTTGGAGGCTACAGACACACTGCCCGCGCTGGGCACGTACGCACACACACGTCGACACACACACACAGAAATATCTGCCCCAGCCAGACACAGAGGAGCACTTCCAGACAACGGGATTTGTTTCTGAATCACAGAGAAACAGTGAAACAGAAGAGTTTTCCTTCCAGTTCTGCCTTGAATAGAGTAACATACACTCAGGTCCGGGGCTCGCGTGCTTGCACACGGGCCACGGGGCGGGGGCGGTCCCGCTCAGGGCTTCCCCGGGCACCCGGGCCGGTGTTGGCTCAGGTGACACCTGCGAGACTGCATCTTTGCATGTAAAAACAATAAAAATACCCTAAACCAGTGAGCAGTGTTAAAAAATCAGGAGTCCCCTCATTTTTCTGTAGAAAAGAAGGTTAACCTCTTAAATTATAGTTTACATGTTCTTTTGGAAATTAACCTACACAGATGAAGGGATTTCCTTGGTTCCTCAACCACCGGGCTGTAGAAACTCTGCCTGATCCTCCCGGGGGAACTCCTCCCCTGCACCTGGGACCAGGTGGCCTCAGAGAGTGCTGCCAAGTTCCCCGAGAGCGTGCCCCCCAAGTCACCCAGTGCCATGTAAACCCCGGTAACAAAAAATAGTTTTATATCAAATACAGTATCAAATTGCCATTTCATGTAAACACAGTGATTCCTGGTAAAGATCAGAGGCCAAAGTACCACAAAAAAGGGCCGTAGGATTAATCCCTGCTTAAAAAAAAATGTGTAAAAGACAAACTATGCCCACGCCCATCCCCAGCCGACGGCCGGCACTCGGAGCTTCTACTGGACGCAGCTGGACGCCTGCTCCTGCCGCCAGCGCCGCACCAGAGGCGCCGGGAGCCCGAGGCAGTGGCTGCGGTCGAGGGCGAGGCGAGGGGCGGCGGGGCCCTTCCCCCGGGGGTCCGTCCGGCAGCTCAGCCGGTCCACCCCTTTCCGAGGGACCGGGCGCCGCGCTCCGCCCCGAGCCCGGGAAGGCGCCCCGCCCTCGGGGGGGCCGCGGCGGCGCTGGGTTCCCGGCGCGGCTCCGTGGGCGGGCGGCCCCAGCAGAGGCCGGCTCCCGGCGCGGCGGGCAGGGTGGCCGTGGCGCTACCCCCGCAGGTCGGCGACGGCGGCCGCGCAGCTCTCGCTGCAGCTGGACGAGGGGCTCAGCGCCACGGACCCCGCGCTGGACTCTGCGGACACGCAGGGGAGGGCTGCGGTGCGTGCTGGGCGGCTCGGGCCCCGCCGGCACCGCAGGCCCCGCCGGGTGCTCGAAGGGCTGGGCGCTCACGGGGTGGGGAGGTGCCCACGGGGTGGGGGGGCGCTCACGGGGATGGGGGGCGCTCACAGGGGTGGGGAGGTGCCCACGGGGATGGGGTCACTGACAGGGGTTGGGGGGCACTCACAGGGGGTGGTGGGGGCGGTCACAGGGCTGGGGGGCACTCACACGACTGGGGAGTGCTCACGGGGGGGGTGGGGGGACGCAGGGCTCACCTGGGCTGCTCAGGCACCCCATGGGACCGCCCTGGCAGAGGAGCGCAGACAGGCTGTGGGCGGGCACCCAGCCCTCGGCGCCGGAGCTCAGGTTCCGCACGCACCTGAAAGGGGCCGGGTGAGGGCGCAGCCGGGCGTGGGCGAGGGGCACGTGGGGCGGGGGTCTTACCAGAGGCCCTCATCTCCCTCCTGCACCAGCTCCACCTCGTCCCCACTTCTCAGGGCCAGCATGTCGGGGACGCCCTTCTCGTCCAGCCTGGCGACGGTGTACCTCCCGGGGACCTGGGGAGGCACGGCAGGGCACCCCATGCACCACGGCCCTCAGCTGGGGGGGTCTCCTGGGCCAGAAGGACCCTGGGCCTCACTGGACCCGAGAGCCCGCCCTGCCCCTCTGGGCCCACGCGCCAGCCAGCCAGCTCCTGGTCACCGGGGCCCCCGCTGCCTCCTTCCTGGGTCACACCTGCGGGCACGGAACGAGCTCGGCTTGGGGCTCGTCTTTCACCCACAAGAGGGGGCTCCTGTCCACCGTCTGCATTCACTGCCCAGCGGCCAGCGCCTCACACAGCAGGCGCCCAGCACCTCTGTGGACGGAGCTGCCAAGCAGCGTGGACTCGAGACGGGGAGGGCGTCCTGTGGGAGCGCAGGGGCTCCGGCCTCTTGTGACTGAGCTGTGCGGGGGCCGCGCCGCCCGGCGTGGGGGTGGGCAGAGCCGGGCCAGGGCCCCTCATCCTCACAGGGGGCCAACACCGCCCACCCTCCCTGGGCACCCTGCCCAAGCCCGCCCTGGCCCGGGGCAGCACCTCCCACCCTCCGGCCACCCTGAGAGCAGCAGGCACCCGCCAGGCCTGCCTGTCCACTGAGGCTCCCCCACTGAACCCCGGGTGGCCGGCTCCGCTCACCCTCAGGCCTCCTCGGGAAGGGCTGCCCGGCCACCTGAGATGCCCCCTGCTTCCCTGCACCTACGTGCGTCTGCCCCCTCCTTCTCTGGGGTGCTCTGCGTGCTGCAAACAGCCGGCGTGATAGGGCAGCGCTGAGCGCCTGCAAGTAACTGCTGTGCAGCTGACTTTGACGGCCTAACAGCCTCCCTGCGCCTCACGCTAAAGCAGGACTTTGTTCGCAGGCAAGTTCGCACCTCAGATGGGCACGATTCTCTTAAACGCTGCGGTGGAGATGCATGCGCAGTGTTAGCAAAGCTCCCCTGCAGGGCAGAGCGGGCTCATGTGAACTAACAGAGGGTGGGCACCGCGACGACCCTCCGCGCCCCCGGGGCCCGGCTCCCGAGGGTGCAGCAGGGAGGGGCCAGCCAGCTGGGAGCCCAGGTTACCAGCTTCCCGGGCCCCACTCTGCCCTCCTCCTCCGCGTCCGAGGAGTTGACTGGCTCCTCGGTGCTCGACCAGCCGTCGTTGTCCTCAGGCGTCTCTGATGGGTGGGACGTCTTGCTCCAGCCTAGAGGGGGACAGGCTCCCGTGAGGACCCCCTCAAGGCCTGCCGCCAAGGGAAGGCCATTTCCATGACCACAGGCAAGCACAGCACCCCTCACCCCATGGCGGGCCGCCGGCAGGGAGGAGGGTTCCTCCCCGGGGCGGGGGAGGGCTAGGGGAGTGGCCAGAGGCCACTGGAAGACACTTCTTCGGGGCTTTATAAACCACGCGAATACTCCTCCGTGACCGTTTCCACTGCCCTGTGTCCCGAGGGCAGCCACTGCGAGCACGACCCATGGCCCTGGTGGCTGGAGGCCGTGTGGGGAGCAGGAACTGCGAGTTTATAGCCACAGACCCCCTCCCCGCCGCCGCCTGGGCACGCCCGCAGCCACCCAGCGCAGGAAGTGCAGGGGGACGCTGGGCTGGGTCACCAGGGGCCCCGGCGCCGGGCAGCTGGCCGCAGATGTCTGCTCTGCCCGCCCAGCACCCACAGCGGGCTCCTGGCCAAACGAAAGCACGAGTCTGACGGGGGACAGTGCGGGCGGAGACGACGCCCCGCCTGCGCAGAGGGATGGCACGGGGACACGGGCGCCTGCAAACCTGGCTGGGGCCACAGGGATGGGCACTGCCCTTGGATCACGCCCGGCTACCTGAGGCCTCCGAGCGACCTTCTGTACCAGGCGAGGTGGTCCCTGTCCACACTGGCGGGAGTAAGGGGGAAATGCTGAGCCCACAGCCGGGCAGGGGCTGGGGGCTTGCAGGAGGACATCGGACCAAGGTGACTGAGTCTGGTCACCTGTCGTCCCTGTGAAACAGCCACTGCCATTGACACTGGAGAAAGAGGGGCTGATGACGCTCCAGGAAGCAGACACGTGGCGCTGGCAAGAGCAGGAGCCAAGAAAACCTCACTGTGCCCTGAAGTGGACTGAGGTGACTCACTGCAGGGGAGGAGGGGGGGAGGGGGGAAGGGGAGGGGGGGAAGGGGAGGGGGGAGGGGGGAGGAGGGGAGAGAGGGGAGGGGGGAGGGGGGAGGAGGGAGGAGTGGGGGAGGGGGGAGGAGGGGAGGGGGAAGGGGGGAGGAGGGGAGGGGGAAGGGGAGGGGAGGGGAGAGGAGGGGAGGGGAGAGGAGGGGAGGGGGAAGGGGAGGGGAGGGGAGAGGAGGGGAGGGGGAAGGGGAGAGGAGGGGAGAGGGAAGGGGGGAGGAGGGAGGAGTGGGGGAGGGGGGGAGGGGGAAGGAGGGGAGGGGGAAGGGGGGAGGAGGGGAGGGGGAAGGGGAGGGGGGGAGGGGGGCAGGGGGAGGGGGCTGGTAGTGCTGGGCTTGCTCCAGGCTCTAACACGCCTCTGTGGACTCAGGTCACCTCACTGTCTCACAGGTGAGCAGGGGAGCTCGGAGTCGACACCGCTGGGCTCAGAGGCCATGCATAGCGTCTGAATCAGACGAGCCGGCGGGGCCCCGGACCAGGAGGCAGAGTGGGTAGGCGTCTCGGACACCCCTGATCTTAAGCAGGAACCCAAACAGCCCCGGCAGCCTCTCCCAGGAGCTGCGCAGGAGGTGACTCCTCTCCCCAGCCGGGGCTCCGCAGGGCTCCTGTCTGGGCTGTGGGAGGGCGCGGCCTGGGTCCCTGGGGCACAGACCGTCCTTTGAGGCTGGGGAGGGCCGGCGGCCCTGAGTGGTCTGAGCAGGGGGTCTGGTGCAGCTGCACCCCTGAGACACCATCACGCTGTCTGGGAAACACAGGACAAATCACACAGTGGAGTCCTCTCTGGGAACCTCAAGTCTCTCAACCTGGGCCGGGGGCCTTGGGGTCTCAGGGCTAGAGAGGCCAAGCCCTGAGCTTCAGTGCGGAGCCGACCCCGTGTCCTCACAGCGGGAGTCCCAAGGAGACTTGCGGTGGGAGGGCTCTGCCGGCCGCTGTCCCAGGAATCGTGGGGACAAATGGCGATGCAGGAAGGGCAGCTGCTGCGGAGATAGTCCTGCCTGTCCCAGGCGCCAGCCAGGGTCCCCAGCCGCTGCCTGGCACTCTGCCGGCAGCTCTGCGGTGCTGGGCACAGCCAGTCTGAGGCCCTGGACCCAGAAGCGAGTGGGCACCAGGGCCGCTGTCGCTGGGCCTTCAGGTTTTGAACGGAACACTGACTCTGCCCCTGGCTGGGAGGGACCTACTTGGGCGGGCGGCTCAGATGACAGGTGAGGGTGAGACAGGGTCCCTAATCGGATGGGGAGGCGGGCGTCAGGCCTTGTCCAGAAGGTGAGCCACTCTACCTCGTAACCCAAAAGGCGTGGGGTCGCTCTTTACTTGGTGTCGCTTAGCTTTTTTGTCGGGACTGGTGGGAGACGCTGCAGAGGGGCGAGAGGCAGAGACAGAACAGGAGAGCGAGCGTGAGGCGCCGCAGCTGAGCGCGCGGGGCAAACATGGAGCGCGAGCGGCAATGAGACGCGCGGCCAGAGCTGCCTTCCGGGGACTCCGAGCCGAGCTCACAGGCGGACGGACCCAGGGGTGCACCTTCCGGGGACTCCGAGCCGAGCTCGCAGGGGTGCAGGGGGGCCCCGAGGGAGAGCAGGACGGGCTGCAGATGACGTGGCATCGGCAGCGTGGTTTTAGGAAGCAGCCCGGTGTCCTGGACCCTGTGTGCAGCACGCGCCGTGCACGTGCTCTGCAAACCTGGCGAACGTGAGAACCAGGATGTGTCCATCTTTTCGTTTGTTTGAGGCCAATTTAAAATGATTTTGTAAACTGGAGTAACAAAAAAGAAGCTGCAATTTCTGGGCCCGTGCAAAGATCTCTAGTCTTTTGGTGTCTGGTGGGGAGCCCTCTAACGAGCCGCCTGCAGCTTCTGGGCGTGTTTCTCCCATGTACCTGCTGCCCAGGCGCCCCGGCGGGCTGTGAGACCTCCCTCAGGATACCCTGAGCCTGCCTGTGTGTTCGAACCGCCCAGAGAGAAGAGAAAGCCTCACGGTCTGGTAGGCGGAGCGATGCTCCCGGGGAGCCTGACAGGGAAGCGGGGAGAGGGGCGGGCTCCCAGGAAGAGCTGGGCCACCAGGCAAAGGACACTCGGGCCCCCAAGACGGGCCTCCATCAGAAGTGCTCGCCTCCTCCTTCCCGAAGGAAAGGCCCCGAAAAGAGCTCTGGCCACACGGATGACAGACACACCAGTGTCGGGGACAGAGAGCGACCGGGGTGGAAGATGCTCCCCTGTGATGAAGGAGGCAGACGCCCTCCCGAGACGGTCCACACGGATGAACATGGCACCGCGGGTGATGACAGACAACCAGGGCACCAGCCGCCGGGAAGCCGTGGGCTGGCGAGCGCCTTTACCTTTCTGGGCTTTGAGGGCAGCAAAGCTCTGCAGGGTGAAGCGCTTTTTGGAAAGGGCAGAGCTTTCTGAGGTAGAGCTAGTGACCACGTCATCTGCGGGGAGAGAGGGTGGTGCGGGGGGGGCTGGGCAGTCACACGCGGGTCCCCCCCAGGCCCCATGCTTGCCACGGACCTGCCCAGGGCCAGAGAGGTTGCATATGACACGCCTGCTGCGGGCACCCACACCGCTCCCGACGCTCCGGGCTCCACCCAGCACCCATCTTTACCCTTCTCGGGGGGCCTGGTGCTCTGGGCTCGGCCCAGCACCCATCTTTACCCTTCTCGGGGGGCCCGGCGCTCCGGGCTCGGCCCAGCACCCACCTTTGCCCTTCTCGGGGGGCCCGGTGCTCTGGGCTCGGCCCAACACCCACCTTCACCCTTCTCGGGAGGCCCGGCGCTCCGGGCTCGGCCCAGCACCCACCTTCGCCCTTCTCGGGGGGCCCGGTGCTCTGGGCTCGGCCCAACACCCACCTTCACCCTTCTCGGGGGGCCCGGCGCTCCGGGCTCGGCCCAGCACCCACCTTCACCCTTCTCGGGGGGCCCGGCGCTCCGGGCTCGGCCCAGCACCCACCTTCACCCTTCTCGGGGGGCCCGGCGCTCCGGGCTCGGCCCAGCACCCACCTTCACCCTTCTCGGGGGGCCCGGCGCTCCGGGCTCGGCCCAGCACCCACCTTCACCCTTCTCGGGGGGCCTGGCGCTCCGGGCTCGGCCCAGCACCCACCTTCACCCTTCTCGGGGGGCCTGGCGCTCCGGGCTCGGCCCAGCACCCACCTTTGCCCTTCTCCAGGGGCCCAGTGCCCCAGGCTAGCCCCAGCACCCACCTTTGCCCTTTTCGGGGGCCCTCGGCAGTGGCGTCGACCCCCCGTATCCCTCCAGGCTCAGCGGGTCCATTTTTCTTTCTTCTAACTTTTTGATGTTTCTTGTGCTCCCTTTCAAGGGACTAATGATGACCGACGCGTGGAAAAAGGAAGAGAACATTGCCGTTAGCGTTCATAGGCCGAGGGTGGGGAGGGGATGACTCTGAGCGCCTCCCCAGCTCTCGGGCCATGTGTTTCGCGCTGCGGGCCGTGGCCACGCACCTCCAGACTCCAGCTGCAGCCAGGGGGGACACCCACCTCCACAGCTACTAAAAGGCTGTTTTGTTGTTTTTTTCCCCCACAGGGTGTCGTTTCTCCTTTAAAGCTATTGTTCTGTGGTTTATTCGTTTAGACTATATCCTATTCCATAGACAATTAGACGTGGCTTACATAAAAAACAGTGAAAAAGAAAAAAGTGAATGGATAAAGTAACAGAGGAGAAACGAGGGCAGAAAAGATGTAATGAGGCCAGTGTGAAATGCGCCCCCGCGCCGCTGTGTCCCTGCAAGCGCAGGCCCCGCAGCTCTGAGCCAGCATGCCCCCAGTGCCCGACCACCCAGGGCGCTGCCATCCCTGACACGCGGGTGCGGGGCTGCTCTCGGGACGGCCGCCCACCCCTCGCTGACCGTGATGGGATTTCCGCCCCCTCCCCAGGAGAAACCAGGGACACAGGAACTGGGCTCTGTGTGTGAGGTGGGGCCGGAGACACAGGCCTCGACGCTGACCTCAGGGGCCCTGGGCGGGGGCTTGGGGCCCGGGAGACGCAGCGGTGCAGGCTGGCTGGCCCCGCTGGGAGCCCCCGCACGGCGGGCCTCACCTGGCGCTGGCCGGCGCGGGCAGGGGCAGGCTCTGGGGCTGCTCGAGGGCGCGGCGCTGGCTGGTCTCTGCAGGGACAGTGGCCCGGCACGGTCAGGACCCGTGGCCGTGCGCCCTCCCCTCCCGGAGCCTGGAGGGCCAAGGGCTGGGGCTGCCCCGAGGGACCAGACGCGCCCCAGGGGCAGCCCAGGGGATGGGCTCTCACCTCTGCATGCCTGCAGCTGGCTGGTCAGCACCTTCCGAATCTCGCTCACCCAGGCTGCCTTGATTTCGGGAGTGGGTGCCTGCGCCCCAGAGCAGACCAGGGGTGAATGTGTGCCCACGGTGACGCGTGCCAGTGTATCCCTCTGCAGGGGCTCAGGACACGTGGGAACGGGGGGTGACAGTGCTGCTCTGGGGGTGCAGGAAGGACCCCCCTCGGGTGAGGGCACGCTGACTGCTGGGGCCTGAGGGCCATGTGGGCGTGCGCTGGGCTCTGAGGCTCCCAGGCTCCAGCAGAGCCGGGCGCCGGCTGAGGGTGCTCCTGCCGCAGCTCTGCGGGCCCTTGGCTGGCTGACCCGGCTGGTGGGCTGTGAGCTGTGACCAGGTCGCCGGGGCCTCCTCACTGCCCTGTGGCCACATCCCCCAGGGTTACGGGGGCCCAGACCACCAAGGGCGTCAGAATCGTGGCGGGCAATGCAGCAAGGCGCCTCCCAGGCTGGGCCGCTCTCTCGAGGTCTCTGCCAGATGCGTGGACGCCCTGACAGCTCCACCACCTCCCGCCCCCACGGAGAGGTGAGCACACACTTCCTGTACGAGAGCCAGGTGCGCGTGACCACGTGCACGCGTGACAGTGTGCATGTGTGACACGGGCAGCCCACGCCGCCCCGCTGTCCAGGCACGCAGGAGCTGGGCCCGGGACTGTGAGCCTGCTGCCCTGCCTCCAGAGCCCCTCCGCCCTGCAGGGTCCCTGCTCCCCATCAGGGCTCGGCTCTGTTGCTGACAGCCCAGGTCAGCCCCACACGAACGGGGCGGGGGGCGGTGCTGGCCTCTGGGAGATAAAGCCTCAGAGGGTCCTAGACAGCGGCCCTTGGCCGAAGCCGCTCACCGGCATCCGCACGGGCCGGGCAGATCCCCGGGCCTACCTGGATGATGTACACCTCCTCCCTGGCGTTGTACCAGATCTCGAACTTCTTTGCATCACCTTTCACGTTCTCCGTGATGCCGACGGCTGTCATCTGTGAGGGCAGAGCGGGCGGGTGGGCCTCCGGCGGGGCGCCCTCCCCGGAAGGCGGGTGCGCGGCCCGGGGCACTCACGTTCAGCGACTGCTTGTAGCTGTAGGAGGGCGCCTTCTCGTAGCCCTCACCGTTCTCCTCCCGCCGCTTGCAGAATAGCACGGCCTTCTCGTGCAGGAACAGGTGGCGCTGCATGGGCTTGAAGCGGGCCAGGTCCTTCACCTTGGCGTGGCCCCTCTTGTGGTCAGTCCACACGCTGAAGGAGCCCTGCATGAGCAGCCTCCCCAGGTCGCTCAGGTTCCCCTGGGGCGGGGCGGAAGGAGGCATGGTTAACGCCCAGGGCGGGCCTGGGGCCTCAGATGCGCGGCCAAGCAGAAGCCCGTCTGGGGGCCGGGCTGTGGCCCATAGGGCCCAGCCACCGACACTCGGGAGAGTCAAGGGTAAGTGGGACGGTCAGGGGCATCCGCGGGGATGAACAGGGGATGTCTGGGGCAGGGAACTGCTCTGTGGGACTCTATCATGGTGGACACTGGTCACCAACTTGTCCAAACCCACAGCGTGACCCTGACGTGCACTGTGGACTCTGGGTGAAGGGTCAGCGGAGGCCCGTCGGCTGTGACAGGCGCCCGACTCCAGTGGAAGGCGGAGTTGCGGGGGCCGACGTGCACTCGTGGGGCAGGGGCATGGAAAGGCCTGTATGCTCCCTTCCATTTCACTGTGAACCCAGAACTGCTCCAAAAAGAAAGTCTACTAAAGGGAAAAGCAAAGAGATGACGAGTGCTGAAGGGATTTACAAAGAGGAGAGGAGCCAGGGGGCGGCCTGAGCACACGGGGGTTGAGGGGCAGCATCTCGCTGTCAGGCGCTGTCTCAGCGAGAAGGGGAGGACCAGGAGGGGGTGGTCCCTGAGCCCTGTCAGCGCTGAGACGCACCCTGGGGTGGAAAAGTCCGGGGCTTCTACCTGCTGATGAGCCACAGGGCGGCCGTGCAGAACCGGGTTTTGATGGGATTCTGGGTGATGTGCGTGCAAGGCAACTCCCCACCCCCGGCCCATGATGGGCCCCCTCAGGCCCCGCCCCAGGCTGGCAGGATGGGTGGGGCCTCACCTCGTAGCCAGTGATGGCGATCAGGTGCATGGAGTCATTCACGGCCTTGAGGATGCCCAGGATGGAGCTCAGGGCCTCTTGCAAGTCCTCGGCGCCCTCACAGCTCTTGCTGTATTTCAGCATCTCCTGGGGGGGGGCAGGGAGGGTCACTGCCACCTGGACACTGAGCCCCACCCCTCCTAAGAGTGGCTGGCTCGCCCTGGGACAGGGGTGTGGCTCCTGTGCGGTGGTAACTGGTGGGGCAAGACCGCATGTGCCCTGGGGCACTCACCCCCTGCCTAGGTGCAGGGTGCGGGGGATGGTCAGCCTGCCACCCCCGTGGCCCGGCACCCCACCCTGCACCCAGCTGCACCCGCCACAGCTCACATCTCCGACAGCCCCTCCTTCGAGGTCTGACCCCCGAACGAACGAGCACCAGTCACAGCTCTTCGCGCCCGCTCTCAGACCTTGGGGATCTGCTCCGCAGGACGCCACGGTCAGCAGGACACAGGCGGCCTCGCGTGTGCTCTGGAGGCAGGGCCGGCCTGCCTGTGTCCCCGGCCCCGGCCCCTGATGACGGGCAGCACGTGGGTGGCCCTGTGGGGAGCCAGGGCCCCACAAACATGGGTAGGAGGTGTCCAGAGACCGCGGAGCTCAGGGATGGGCTGGGGCGACTGCCACTGTGTGGTGTGCAGCTGGGAGGGCGTCCAGGCCAGAGCCAGGCTCCGGGGAGGGGGCATCGGGCCAGGTGGGGAGGTCCCGGGGATGCCTGGCCTCTCACCTTGAGCAGCAGCTGGTACTTGGTGATCCTCTGGACCGGCTTCAGCAGGTAGGAGTCCAGGCTCAGCTTGTGGTCCAGCTTCTTCTGGCACTCCTGCACCCAGCACACCCCCTCAGACAGCTGTCGCCCTCGCCGCGAGAGTCGGTGAGTGGGGCACAGTCCCCACCACACCCCCTCAGACAGCTGTCGCCCTCGCCGCGAGAGTCGGTGAGTGGAGGACAGTGCCCGCCACACCCCCTCAGACAGCTGTCGCCCGCCTTCCGAGAGTCGGTGAGTGGAGGACAGTCCCCGCCACACCCCCTCAGACAGCTGTCGCCCTCCTTCCGAGAGTCGGTGAGTGGAGCACAGTCCCCACCACACGCCCTCAGACAGCTGTCGCCCGCCTTCCGAGAGTCGGTGAGTGGAGGACAGTCCCCGCCACACCCCCTCAGACAGCTGTCGCCCGCCTTCCGAGAGTCGGTGAGTGGAGCACAGTCCCCGCCACACCCCCTCAGACAGCCGTCGCCCTCCTTCCGAGAGTCGGTGAGTGGAGGACAGTCCCCGCCACACCCCCTCAGACAGCTGTCGCCCTCGCCGCGAGAGTCGGTGAGTGGGGCACAGTCCCCACCACACCCCCTCAGACAGCTGTCGCCCTCGCCGCGAGAGTCGGTGAGTGGAGGACAGTGCCCGCCACACCCCCTCAGACAGCTGTCGCCCTCGCCGCGAGAGTCGGTGAGTGGAGCACAGTCCCCGCCACACCCCCTCAGACAGCTGTCGCCCTCGCCCCGAGAGTCGGTGAGTGGAGGACAGTGCCCGCCACACCCCCTCAGACAGCTGTCGCCCTCGCCGCGAGAGTGGGTGAGTGGAGGACAGTCCCCGCCACACCCCCTCAGACAGCTGTCGCCCGCCTTCCGAGAGTCGGTGAGTGGGGCACAGTCCCCGCCACACCCCCTCAGACAGCTGTCGCCCGCCTTCCGAGAGTCGGTGAGTGGAGGACAGTCCCCGCCACACCCCCTCAGACAGCTGTCGCCCCCGCCCCGAGAGTCGGTGAGTGGAGCACAGTCCCCGCCACACCCCCTCAGACAGCTGTCGCCCGCCTTCCGAGAGTCGGTGAGTGGAGGACAGTGCCCGCCACACCCCCTCAGACAGCTGTCGCCCGCCTTCCGAGAGTCGGTGAGTGGAGGACAGTCCCCGCCACACCCCCTCAGACAGCTGTCGCCCTCCTTCCGAGAGTCAGTGAGTGGAGCACAGTCCCCGCCACACCCCCTCAGACAGCTGTCGCCCTCGCCGCGAGAGTGGGTGAGTGGAGGACAGTGCCCGCCACACCCCCTCAGACAGCTGTCGCCCGCCTTCCGAGAGTCGGTGAGTGGAGGACAGTCCCCGCCACACCCCCTCAGACAGCTGTCGCCCTCCTTCCGAGAGTCGGTGAGTGGAGCACAGTCCCCACCACACGCCCTCAGACAGCTGTCGCCCGCCTTCCGAGAGTCGGTGAGTGGAGGACAGTCCCCGCCACACCCCCTCAGACAGCTGTCGCCCGCCTTCCGAGAGTCGGTGAGTGGAGCACAGTCCCCGCCACACCCCCTCAGACAGCCGTCGCCCTCCTTCCGAGAGTCGGTGAGTGGAGGACAGTCCCCGCCACACCCCCTCAGACAGCTGTCGCCCTCGCCGCGAGAGTGGGTGAGTGGAGGACAGTGCCCGCCACACCCCCTCAGACAGCTGTCGCCCCCGCCCCGAGAGTCGGTGAGTGGAGGACAGTGCCCGCCACACCCCCTCAGACAGCTGTCGCCCTCCTTCCGAGAGTCGGTGAGTGGAGGACAGTCCCAGCCACACCCCCTCAGACAGCTGTCGCCCGCCTTCCGAGAGTCGGTGAGTGGAGCACAGTCCCCGCCACACCCCCTCAGACAGCTGTCGCCCTCCTTCCGAGAGTTGGTGAGTGGAGCACAGTCCCCGCCACACCCCCTCAGACAGCTGTCGCCCGCCTTCCGAGAGTCGGTGAGTGGAGGACAGTCCCCGCCACACCCCCTCAGACAGCTGTCGCCCGCCTTCCGAGAGTCGGTGAGTGGACCACAGTCCCCGCCACACCCCCTCAGACAGCTGTCGCCCTCGCCGCGAGAGTCGGAGAGTGGAGGACAGTCCCCGCCACACCCCCTCAGACAGCTGTCGCCCTCGCCCCGAGAGTCGGTGAGTGGAGGACAGTCCCCGCCACACCCCCTCAGACAGCTCTCGCCCCCGCCCCGAGAGTCGGTGAGTGGAGGACAGTGCCCGCCACACCCCCTCAGACAGCTGTCGCCCTCGCCCCGAGAGTCGGTGAGTGGAGCACAGTCCCCGCCACACCCCCTCAGACAGCTGTCGCCCGCCTTCCGAGAGTCGGTGAGTGGAGCGCAGTCCCCGCCACACCCCCTCAGACAGCTGTCGCCCGCCTTCCGAGAGTCGGTGAGTGGAGGACAGTCCCCGCCACACCCCCTCAGACAGCTGTCGCCCGCCTTCCGAGAGTCGGTGAGTGGAGGACAGTGCCCGCCACACCCCCTCAGACAGCTGTCGCCCCCGCCCCGAGAGTCGGTGAGTGGAGGACAGTCCCCGCCACACCCCCTCAGACAGCTGTCGCCCTCGCCGCGAGAGTCGGTGAGTGGAGGACAGTGCCCGCCACACCCCCTCAGACAGCTGTCGCCCCCGCCCCGAGAGTCGGTGAGTGGAGGACAGTCCCCGCCACACCCCCTCAGACAGCTGTCGCCCTCGCCGCGAGAGTCGGTGAGTGGAGGACAGTGCCCGCCACACCCCCTCAGACAGCTGTCGCCCCCGCCCCGAGAGTCGGTGAGTGGAGGACAGTCCCCGCCACACCCCCTCAGACAGCTGTCGCCCTCGCCGCGAGAGTCGGTGAGTGGAGGACAGTGCCCGCCACACCCCCTCAGACAGCTGTCGCCCCCGCCCCGAGAGTCGGTGAGTGGAGGACAGTCCCCGCCACACCCCCTCAGACAGCTGTCGCCCGCCTTCCGAGAGTCGGTGAGTGGAGCACAGTCCCCGCCACACCCCCTCAGACAGCTGTCGCCCTCCTTCCGAGAGAAGGTGAGTGGAGGACAGTCCCCGCCACACCCCCTCAGACAGCTGTCGCCCTCCTTCCGAGAGTCGGTGAGTGGAGCACAGTCCCCGCCACACCCCCTCAGACAGCTGTCGCCCTCCTTCCGAGAGTCGGTGAGTGGAGGACAGTCCCCGCCACACCCCCTCAGACAGCTGTCGCCCTCGCCGCGAGAGTGGGTGAGTGGAGGACAGTGCCCGCCACACCCCCTCAGACAGCTGTCGCCCCCGCCCCGAGAGTCGGTGAGTGGAGGACAGTGCCCGCCACACCCCCTCAGACAGCTGTCGCCCTCCTTCCGAGAGTCGGTGAGTGGAGTACAGTCCCCGCCACACCCCCTCAGACAGCTGTCGCCCTCCTTCCGAGAGTCGGTGAGTGGAGCACAGTCCCCGCCACACCCCCTCAGACAGCTGTCGTCCGCCTTCGGAGAGTCGGTGAGTGGAGCACAGTCCCCGCCACACCCCCTCAGACAGCTGTCGCCCTCCTTCCGAGAGTCGGTGAGTGGAGGACAGTGCCCGCCACACCCCCTCAGACAGCTGTCGCCCTCCTTCCGAGAGTCGGTGAGTGGAGGACAGTGCCCGCCACACCCCCTCAGACAGCTGTCGCCCGCCTTCCGAGAGTCGGTGAGTGGAGGACAGTCCCCGCCACACCCCCTCAGACAGCTGTCGCCCGCCTTCCGAGAGTCGGTGAGTGGAGGACAGTCCCCGCCACACCCCCTCAGACAGCTGTCGCCCCCGCCCCGAGAGTCGGTGAGTGGAGCACAGTCCCCGCCACACCCCCTCAGACAGCTGTCGCCCTCGCCCCGAGAGTCAGTGAGTGGAGCACAGTCCCCGCCACACCCCCTCAGACAGCTGTCGCCCGCCTTCCGAGAGTCGGTGAGTGGAGGACAGTGCCCGCCACACCCCCTCAGACAGCTGTCGCCCCCGCCCCGAGCCTCTGCGCGTGGAGGACAGTCCGCGTCACACCCCCTCAGACAGCTGTCGCCCTCGCCGCGAGAGTCGGTGAGTGGAGGACAGTGCCCGCCACACCCCCTCAGACAGCTGTCGCCCTCCTTCCGAGAGTCGGTGAGTGGAGGACAGTCCCCGCCACACCCCCTCAGACAGCTGTCGCCCTCCTTCCGAGAGTCGGTGAGTGGAGCACAGTCCCCGCCACACCCCCTCAGACAGCTGTCGCCCGCCTTCCGAGAGTCGGTGAGTGGAGGACAGTCCCCGCCTCACCCCCTCAGACAGCTGTCGCCCGCCTTCCGAGAGTCGGTGAGTGGAGGACAGTCCCCGCCACACCCCCTCAGACAGCTGTCCCCCTCCTTCCGAGAGTCGGTGAGTGGAGCACAGTCCCCGCCACACCCCCTCAGACAGCTGTCGCCCTCCTTCCGAGAGTCCGTGAGTGGAGGACAGTCCCCGCCACACCCCCTCAGACAGCTGTCGCCCTCCTTCCGAGAGTCAGTGAGTGGAGGACAGTCCCCACCACACCCCCTCAGACAGCTGTCGCCCGCCTTCCGAGAGTCGGTGAGTGGAGCACAGTCCCCGCCACACCCCCTCAGACAGCTGTCGCCCTCCTTCCGAGAGTCGGTGAGTGGAGGACAGTCCCCGCCACACCCCCTCAGACAGCTGTCACCCGCCTTCCGAGAGTCGGTGAGTGGAGCACAGTCCCCGTCACACCCCCTCAGACAGCTGTCGCCCTCCTTCCGAGAGAAGGTGAGTGGAGGACAGTCCCCGCCACACCCCCTCAGACAGCTGTCGCCCTCCTTCCGAGAGTCGGTGAGTGGAGCACAGTCCCCGCCACACCCCCTCAGACAGCTGTCGCCCTCCTTCCGAGAGTCGGTGAGTGGAGGACAGTGCCCGCCACACCCCCTCAGACAGCTGTCGCCCTCCTTCCGAGAGTCGGTGAGTGGAACACAGTCCCCGCCACACCCCCTCAGACAGCTGTCGCCCTGCTTCCGAGAGTCGGTGAGTGGAGCACAGTCCCCGCCACACCCCCTCAGACAGCTGTCGCCCTCCTTCCGAGAGTCGGTGAGTGGAGCACAGTCCCCGCCACACCCCCTCAGACAGCTGTCGCCCTCGCCCCGAGAGTCGGTGAGTGGAGGACAGTGCCCGCCACACCCCCTCAGACAGCTGTCGCCCTCCTTCCGAGAGTCGGTGAGTGGAACACAGTCCCCGCCACACCCCCTCAGACAGCTTTTGCCCTCCTTCCGAGAGTCGGTGAGTGGAGCAGTCCCCGCCACACCCCCTCAGACAGCTGTCGCCCTCCTTCCGAGAGTCGGTGAGTGGAGCACAGTCCCCGCCACACCCCCTCAGACAGCTGTCGCCCTCCTTCCGAGAGTCGGTGAGTGGAGGACAGTGCCCGCCACACCCCCTCAGACAGCTGTCGCCCCCGCCCCGAGAGTCGGTGAGTGGAGGACAGTCCCCGCCACACCCCCTCAGACAGCTGTCGCCCTCGCCGCGAGAGTCGGTGAGTGGAGTACAGTGCCCGCCACACCCCCTCAGACAGCTGTCGCCCCCGCCCCGAGAGTCGGTGAGTGGAGGACAGTCCCCGCCACACCCCCTCAGACAGCTGTCGCCCCCGCCCCGAGAGTCGGTGAGTGGAGGACAGTCCCCGCCCCACCCCCTCAGACAGCTGTCGCCCTCCTTCCGAGAGTCGGTGAGTGGAGGACAGTCCCCGCCACACCCCCTCAGACAGCTGTCGCCCTCGCCGCGAGAGTGGGTGAGTGGAGGACAGTGCCCGCCACACCCCCTCAGACAGCTGTCGCCCCCGCCCCGAGAGTCGGTGAGTGGAGCACAGTCCCCGCCACACCCCCTCAGACAGCTGTCGCCCGCCTTCCGAGAGTCGGTGAGTGGAGCACAGTCCCCGCCACACCCCCTCAGACAGCTGTCGCCCCCGCCCCGAGAGTCGGTGAGTGGAGCACAGTCCCCGCCACACCCCCTCAGACAGCTGTCGCCCTCCTTCCGAGAGTCGGTGAGTGGAGGACAGTCCCCGCCACACCCCCTCAGACCGCTGTCGCCCCCGCCCCGAGAGTCGGTGAGTGGAGGACAGTCCCCGCCACACCCCCTCAGACAGCTGTCACCCTCCTTCCGAGAGTCGGTGAGTGGAGGACAGTCCCCGCCACACCCCCTCAGACAGCTGTCGCCCTCCTTCCGAGAGTCGGTGAGTGGAGGACAGTCCCTGCCACACCCCCTCAGAGAGCTGTCGCCCCCGCCTCGAGAGTCGGTGAGTGGAGGACAGTCCCCGCCACACCCCCTCAGACAGCTGTCGGCCCCGCCCCGAGAGTCGGTGAGTGGAGCACAGTCCACGCCACACCCCCTCAGACAGCTGTCGCCCTCCTTCCGAGAGTCGGTGAGTGGAGTACAGTCCCCGCCACACCCCCTCAGACAGCTGTCGCCCTCCTTCCGAGAGTCGGTGAGTGGAGGACAGTCCCCGCCACACCCCCTCAGACAGCTGTCGCCCCCGCCCCGAGAGTCGGAGAGTGGAGCACAGTCCCCGCCACACCCCCTCAGACAGCTGTCGCCCTCCTTCTGAGAGTCGGTGAGTGGAGGACAGTCCCCGCCACACCCCCTCAGACAGCTGTCGCCCTCGCCCCGAGAGTCGGAGAGTGGAGCACAGTCCCCGCCACACCCCCTCAGACAGCTGTCGCCCTCCTTCTGAGAGTCGGTGAGTGGAGGACAGTCCCCGCCACACCCCCTCAGACAGCTGTCGCCCGCCTTCCGAGAGTCGGTGAGTGGAGGACAGTCCCCGCCACACCCCCTCAGACAGCTGTCACCCGCCTTCCGAGAGTCGGTGAGTGGAGGACAGTCCCCGCCACACCCCCTCAGACAGCTGTCGCCCCCGCCCCGAGAGTCGGTGAGTGGAGCACAGTCCCCCGCCACACCCCCTCAGACAGCTGTCGCCCTCGCCCCGAGAGTCGGAGAGTGGAGGACAGTCCCCGCCACACCCCCTCAGACAGCTGTCGCCCCCGCCCCGAGAGTAGGTGAGTGGAGGACAGTCCCCGCCATACCCCCTCAGACAGGTGTCGCCCGCCTTCCGAGAGTCGGTGAGTGGAGCACAGTCCCCGCCACACCCCCTCAGACAGCTGTCGCCCTCCTTCCGAGAGTCGGTGAGTGGAGGACAGTCCCCACCACACCCCCTCAGACAGCTGTCGCCCTCCTTCCGAGAGTCGGTGAGTGGAGCACAGTCCCCGCCACACCCCCTCAGACAGCTGTCGCCCCCGCCCCGAGAGTCGGTGAGTGGAGCACAGTCCCCGCCACACCCCCTCAGACAGCTGTCGCCCCCGCCCCGAGAGTCGGTGAGTGGAGGACAGTCCCCGCCACACCCCCTCAGACAGCTGTCGCCCTCCTTCCGAGAGTCGGTGAGTGGAGCACAGTCCCCGCCACACCCCCTCAGACAGCTGTCGCCCTCCTTCCGAGAGTCGGTGAGTGGAGGACAGTCCCCGCCACACCCCCTCAGACAGCTGTCGCCCCCACCCCGAGAGTCGGTGAGTGGAGGACAGTCCCCGCCACACCCCCTCAGACAGCTGTCGCCCCCGCCCCGAGAGTCGGTGAGTGGAGGACAGTCCCCGCCATACCCCCTCAGACAGGTGTCGCCCGCCTTCCGAGAGTCGGTGAGTGGAGCACAGTCCCCGCCACACCCCCTCAGACAGCTGTCGCCCTCCTTCCGAGAGTCGGTGAGTGGAGGACAGTCCCCACCACACCCCCTCAGACAGCTGTCGCCCTCCTTCCGAGAGTCGGTGAGTGGAGCACAGTCCCCGCCACACCCCCTCAGACAGCTGTCGCCCCCGCCCCGAGAGTCGGTGAGTGGAGCACAGTCCCCGCCACACCCCCTCAGACAGCTGTCGCCCCCGCCCCGAGAGTCGGTGAGTGGAGGACAGTCCCCGCCACACCCCCTCAGACAGCTGTCGCCCTCCTTCCGAGAGTCGGTGAGTGGAGCACAGTCCCCGCCACACCCCCTCAGACAGCTGTCGCCCTCCTTCCGAGAGTCGGTGAGTGGAGGACAGTCCCCGCCACACCCCCTCAGACAGCTGTCGCCCCCACTCCGAGAGTCGGTGAGTGGAGGACAGTCCCCACCACACCCCCTCAGACAGCTGTCGCCGTCCTTCTGAGAGTCGGTGAGTGGAGCACAGTCCCCACCACACCCCCTCAGACAGCTGTCGCCCTCCTTCCGAGAGTCGGTGAGTGGAGCACAGTCCCCGCCACACCCCCTCAGACAGCTGTCGCCCTCCTTCCGAGAGTCGGTGAGTGGAGCACAGTCCCCGCCACACCCCCTCAGACAGCTGTCCCCCTCCTTCCGAGAGTCGGTGAGTGGAGCACAGTCCCCACCACACCCCCTCAGACAGCTGTCGCCCGCCTTCCGAGAGTCGGTGAGTGGAGGACAGTCCCCGCCACACCCCGTCAGACAGCTGTCGCCCTCCTTCCGAGAGTCGGTGAGTGGAGGACAGTCCCCGCCACACCCCCTCAGACAGCTGTCGCCCCCACCCCGAGAGTCGGTGAGTGGAGCACAGTCCCCGCCACACCCCCTCAGACAGCTGTCGCCCTCGCCCCGAGAGTCGGAGAGTGGAGGACAGTCCCCGCCACACCCCCTCAGACAGCTGTCGCCCCCGCCCCGAGAGTCGGTGAGTGGAGGACAGTCCCCGCCATACCCCCTCAGACAGCTGTCGCCCGCCTTCCGAGAGTCGGTGAGTGGAGCACAGTCCCCGCCACACCCCCTCAGACAGCTGTCGCCCTCCTTCCGAGAGTCGGTGAGTGGAGGACAGTCCCCACCACACCCCCTCAGACAGCTGTCGCCCTCCTTCCGAGAGTCGGTGAGTGGAGCACAGTCCCCGCCACACCCCCTCAGACAGCTGTCGCCCCCGCCCCGAGAGTCGGTGAGTGGAGCACAGTCCCCGCCACACCCCCTCAGACAGCTGTCGCCCCCGCCCCGAGAGTCGGTGAGTGGAGGACAGTCCCCGCCACACCCCCTCAGACAGCTGTCGCCGTCCTTCTGAGAGTCGGTGAGTGGAGCACAGTCCCCACCACACCCCCTCAGACAGCTGTCGCCCTCCTTCCGAGAGTCGGTGAGTGGAGCACAGTCCCCGCCACACCCCCTCAGACAGCTGTCGCCCTCCTTCCGAGAGTCGGTGAGTGGAGGACAGTGCCCGCCACACCCCCTCAGACAGCTGTCGCCCTCTTTCCGAGAGTCAGTGAGTGGAGCACAGTCCCCGCCACACCCCCTCAGACAGCTGTCGCCCTCCTTCCGAGAGTCGGTGAGTGGAGGACAGTCCCCGCCACTCCCCCTCAGACAGCTGTCGCCCTCCTTCCGAGAGTCGGTGAGTGGAGGACAGTCCCCGCCACACCCCCTCAGACAGCTGTCGCCCCCGCCCCGACAGTCGGTGAGTGGAGGACAGTGCCCGCCACACCCCCTCAGACAGCTGTCGCCCCCGCCCCGAGCCTCTGTGCGTGGAGGACCGCCCACGCGGGCCCGGGACATACCTGGAAGAAGGGGCAGTCGGAGCACTGCCTCCACAGGCTCTCAGAGCGCGGCTTGTTCTGACAGTACTGCTCGTAGATCTGGAACTCCTCCATCTGCCGGGGAGCGGGGCCGCGTCACGGGGGTCTCAGAACCCACGCCGAGTCACAGACCTCTGGGCGGGGACGCCCGGTTCCCTGGGCCCCCCGATGTCTCCCTGAGTCTGGTGCCCCCCTCCATCTCAGAGGCCATGGCTGTGGCCGGGCAGCCAGGGAACAGCCGTGCAGAAGCTCCATCTCAGGGCTGCCCTAGTCGTGGCACCTATCTTAGAAACATTAGGTCTGTGTGGCTGGCTTTCGCCTCAGGGAACAGATAGACACAGGACCGGCACAGACTTTGTGAAGGACTCAGCTACACGTGCGCGGGGGTCGGGACGGCCGGCAGGCTGATGAAATGGTAACTGCCACCCCCACTGAGGTCCGCATTCCACAGGTCAGGGGTGTGGCCTGAGCACCCGCCCTGCCCCTGGGTCCCCAGGAGGGGTGGATGCTGGCAACACCCCCCACCCCAGATCTCAGACAGCACCGGGAGGCACGCCAGACCGCGCGCAGCACAAAGCTGCTCGGTCAGGGTCCTGCACCCCACCCTGCTGCCCCTCAAGCCTGTCCACAGCCCCCAGCCCACTGGTGGTTCCACATCTGTGACTGATGCCTCAGAGCAAGTGTGACTGCCCAGGGTCAGCTGGTGCGCGAGGGACCAGCAGGGAATGGACGCCGGCAAGGACAGTCGGCACGCCACATTCAAGATCAGAACTCAGGTGCCCTCTGATTCTGGCGGCTCTCAAAGCTGAGGTCCTAGGTTTCTTTCTTTTTTGAGCTAGTTACTGGGTTTTAGGGAAACCGTGCTCTTCCAGCCCTAACAAAAAGCATCACGGAGTCTCAGCTAAACTGGAGACATCCGTCCTTGTAATCTCTGTGGGCCAGATGGGGACTGTGACAGAACTTAAAGCCACTGGCTTTAAGGAGCAACTTCAAGGCGTCAGGCCTGCAGAAGGACACATTTGAGAAGCACGTACCCGCTCTAGAAAGCACCTGCCGACCAGCTCCGGGCAGTCCGTGTAGTTCTCCAGATCCCTCAGGAATATCCTAGACGAGGAAGTTTGTGACAGGTCACGTAAACACAGCCAGAATATAACAGCTGGTCACCAAATATTAGATGTTCTTTTCCAGACGCCTATCCCGACTCTGGACAGTGTCCGAGCACCGTGAGCTCGGACGAGCTCGTACGAGACTGTGAGCAGGGACGCACCGTCTGATGCCGGGGCCTGCAGCCCACGCCTGTCCCTCCTATGGTCCCGACTGTGCCAAACGCTCAGGGACAGGCAGCCGCGGCCCCGTGGGGACGCCTTGTTTCTGGAGAACACAGACACGGACCGAGGGGCCGCAGCGGCAGATGGGGCCTCTTGAGGCCCAGCAGCCCGACTGCTCAGTGGGTTTTCTGCAGATTCAAGGGTCCTGCCCTCAGGACCCTCCACCCTGTGGTGCTGACCTTGAGCCTGGGGCTGAGTTTTCGTCTAGGTTTCCAACTCCCACCCGCCTATCAGGTAAATCCTGGCACCGAGGGCGGCTGAGAGCCAGGGCCAGGGATGTGGAAGGACCAGAGGGCCCAGGCCACCTGCTCACCCTAACCTCTCAGGGAGGTGCACCTGAAACGCAACTTTATAAGCAGCAGGTGACGGAGGCTATGGACAGGGACAAAAGCAGGTGGTCAGAGAGAAGTTCCAGTGCTCCTGGCATCAAGGGAGATGGGGCTGGATCCCATGGCCATGCGCCTGTCTGCGAGCAGGCTGGAGGGACCCGTGCACGGCAGCCTTCCTCAGGACCACAGGCTTCTGCCTCCATCTGATTCCCTCTGCATCCGCTATTCATCTTCCCACGAGCCCCTGAGACTGCTGAGGGTGAGTGGCCCCAGAAGGACTGCACACGTCTCCCCAAAGCCACGCAGAGGCCACTGGCACTCCCACGAGGCGGGGTGGGCAGGAAGGAGTGTGCTCTGTGGCCATCCCTTACGAGAACAGGCTTGGCCCTGTTGGCACGCGGCCCCTTTGTAACTCCTTTCCGCTCGGGGTCTGCCCTGGGCCTGTCCCACCTGAGCCTGCTGCCCTTCTGCTCATCCCCCTTGACAAGAGGAAAGGCTCTCCCCCAGCAAAGCTCCAGCAGGCGGGGCCTCCAGAGACCCAAGCAAAGGCCCAACCTGTTATGAAAGTGGTAAATTTCTTCCATGTTTCCAAACAGGATATCCTTCTTGTTCTGAAGGCCAGTCGAGATGAGATGAGTCATTAAAGGGTTGTCCATCTCCGCAGCATAGCCCTGCGGAGGAGGGAGTGGTCAGCGCAGGAGGCAGGCTCCACGAGGCCCCCAAGCAGAGAAGTGATGCTGCTCAGGTTTAGGAATCAAGTCTACTCGAATTCATTCCGGATGGACAAGCACAGAAATGTGAGTTACAAGCAGCATCAGTTACTTTTTCTTTTTATGGGTGGGGCTTCCATCCATTTCGCCACCTTTCAACGTTTCTAAACTCAGGCACATCTCCTATAAAGGGGACAAAGCTTACACATGCGTTCTGATGGATTATCTCTGTGCCTGCACCCTTGCGACCACGGCCCAGATTCCGGGGCAGAGCGTCCCCGCACCCAGAACCGCCATCCCTAGGCAACAGCCCCTCCCTCTTCCTGCAAACACGTTCCAGCGCAGCTGTGCCTGCGTCGATGCGCCCTGGTCCCGAGGACATTCCGCCAACGGGTTTCCAGCTCCTGGCCGGCTCGGCAGGGCTGTCGTGGGATGAGACCACCCTCACCTCCAAGACGCACAGCAGCTCCTCCACGTAGACCCGCTCTGTGTCCAGAAGCTCCTTCATCACATGCCTGTGGGCGGGTGTGCTCTCATGCACAAGCTGCTTCCCACTGCCTCCCGGCTAATGCGGGCCACCTCCAAAGGAGCCCTGACTCCCAGACCATGCACGGTTCCAAGTCCCCGACCCCCAGGCCTCCCCACTCCCAGGCCACAGTTCCAAGTCCCCCGCCCAGACGCCTTCCAGGAGAAGACCCTGCTCCACGGCACCCCCCAGCCTCCCACAAGAAGTGGGCCTGCATGATCTCTGGGGACCTGCCATGTGCCGTCAGGTTAGGGATGCCCAGGAGGGCACGGGCTTGCAAATGGGCGGGCCAGACCTTGCTTTGTGGACCAGGATCACCTTTTAACTGCCTATGACCAAGATTCCCATTTTTAAACAGAAAATGGAGCTGGGTTTGGGACCATGAGCAGATGACGCCTAGCCCGTCGCCAGGCCCGATGCCTTCCAAGTGCCTGCGTCGTCCACACAGCGTGGCAAGGGGCATGGAGAAAAAGGCTCAGGCTCTCTGGCCACCGGGGGCAGAGGGTAGTGTGGACTGGCAAGGAGGCTGTCCCCATGGACGCAGGGCAGTGTGAAGCCTGGGCGATTTCTCCAAGTGGACAGGAGTGCGGAGGGCACTCCTGGGGGTGGGGGTGGGGGATCCGTGGGAGTGACCACAAGGAGAGGAGGGACATGGGCAGCGCCTTCCTGTGAAGTCCAGAGTTTAGTGCCCAAGGGCATGTCTTTGCAGGAACAGGCGCCATCCTGGCAGGGGGGCAGTGTGCGGGGCCAGGGGCGCTGTGGGCCGAGCAGACCCTCTCCAGGGTGGGGGAGCCAAGAAAGACAAGTGATGCCCGGCACTCAGTGGGGCCAGAGTCAGGCAAGGCTGTGGGCAGGGCTGGCGCGGGCGGTCCGAGGCTGGCCCTGCCCGTGTGACCCGAGAGCCAGGGCCGTGCCCCCGAGTTGTGTCCCCTGGGCTCAGGGAGGGAGAACGCAGCTGCTTCAAGCCCCAGGGCCACCAGCCGGGCGGGGGCAACGTGGCCTTGCTGAGGAGCACGCAGGGGGACAGGAGCACCCGCCGAGCGACCCTCGGTCAGCTCTGCTCTGGGCTGCTCCTCCCGGGCCGGGTGGTGGGGGGGGGGGGGCGGGGCGGCGGGGAGGTGGGGGTGGTGGGGGGGGCGGGGCGGCGGGGAGGTGGGGGTGGTGGGGGGGGGCGGGGCGGCGGGGAGGTGGGGGTGGTGTCCCACCACCTCTGCTCCCTGGCGTGCAACCCTTCCGGGGGGCGGGCTAAGATCTGGGGGCCGCGCTCATCCTCGGAGCGGCGGGGAGGCAACCACCCACCTCCGCAGGACGGCCAGGCTCTCCTCGTCCCCCGTGGAGCTGCCGCGGCCCTGCCGGCCCTCGCTCACCTCACTCTGCGGAGAGAGAAGCCGGCCAAGCGGCGCACTTTCAGAGACAGGAGGTGAGGCCTAAGGCCCGGCTCCAGAGCCTGACGGCCTGGTCCCTCTGGGACGGACAGGAGGCCCCGTGGTTGGGGCAGGAGGGGAAAAGGCCCGGGGAAGGCAGGGGAGTGGGGGTGGGGCCGGGGTTAGGAGGGGCGGGGCTGGGAGTGAGGGGGCGGGGCCAGGGGGCCTGGAGGGGAGAGGGCGGGGGAGGCAGGGGAGGGGTGGGGTCAGGGGCTGGAGGCGTGGTCGAGGAGTGAAGGGGCGGGGTCAGAGGGGCCTGGAGGGGAGAGGGCCTGGGGGTAGGTGAGGGAGGGTGCGGGGCTGAGGAGTGAGGAGGCGGGGCAGGAGGACCTGGAGGGGAGAGGGCGGGGGAGGCAGAGGGGAGTGAGGGGGCGGGGTCAGGGCCGATGCGTGAGGGGCGGGGCAGGAGAGCCTGGGGGTGGGGGCCGGGGGTGAGGGGGCGGACACAGGGGGAGTGAGGGGCGTGGCCAAGGCGGGGTGGGGTTGCAGAGTGGGGGCGGGGCCAGGGGAAGTGAGGGGGCGGGGCCGCGGAGTAGGGGCGGGGCCGCTGAGTGGGTCCGCGGCCGGGGGCTCACCTTGGCCCTCCTGTAGGGCCCCCTCCGGAGCGCACTGCTCTCGGAACTGTGGTTCTCAGAACCCCTCCGGATGCCTGGTTTGGGAAGGAGAGAAGGAGAGCGACCTCGCATCTCACGGCGGGGAGACGGAATGCGCGCGCAGGGGCACCTAGGAAAAGCCGCGAGCAGCCCAGAGCACAGGAGGGACGCACAGGAACATGAAGGAGGCGGTGGGAGACGGCCGGGAGCCCCCTGGGCTCGCCATTCGCAGTGGGGCCCGGCTCCCGGTGACAGGGGATAACTCTGCGCCTGGAGTCAGAATGGGCCCACGAGCTGGGCTCAGAGGCTCTTGGCGTGGACAGGCAACACTGGCCAGGGCTGCAGAAAACGGCAGGAGCCATGCCAGCCGCTGGAGCGGTGTGTTTTGGGGACAGGAGGTGACAGGAAGGGCCCAGCCCTGCCTTCCAGAGGGGATGCATCTGAAGAGGCAGGAGGTTTCAGGGGTGGAGGGCCGAGCCACACAAGGGGAAAACCATCCCGCCTACGGCACTGAGGACAGCCCACCAGGCAAGCCCAGGAAAGGCCCTCGAAGCCACGGTGGACCCGGCCCAGCCACAACAACAGGGAGCAGCACGGCTGAGAGGGACCGAGTGAGGGGCCCGAGTGCCAACAAAACTTTATTTCCACAATGGGCTGGGTAGAAGGGGGCGTTCCCCGGGGTGAGGGGTGGCTGCTCATACCTGGGGAGGGGCAGGGCGACTTGGTGAGCGCCTCCGGCCGGGGGGCCACGGGCTGCACAGGCCGTGTCTGCTTGGCTGCCAGCTTCTTGAGGCTGGCCTGCCTGCGGTGGAACATCTCCTCCACGCTCTCCTGCTTCTGGAAGACTCTCTGCACATGCTCCTGTAGAGGGGGACGGTATGCTGGACTCGGCAGGGCATCTCTGTGATGCTCCAGGAGTCACCGTGACAGCTGTGGGCCCCGCTCTGCCCTCCGAGGGCTGGGGGGCACCAAGGGAGGAGGCGGCTGGCGGAGGTCTGTGGACAGCCGGCAGGAGTGAGCAGTTGGGGTCCAGTAGCGTCCAGAGGCTGGTGGAAGTGGGGCCCAGAGAGTGGCCAGGGCTCGGAGCACAGGCCTCCCAGCAGGCAGGGACCTCATGGGGTGGGAAGGGAGGGGGACAGCGTCCATCCTGAAACGCCCCACCCTCTGCCTCCTGAGTGCCCAGAGAGTCGTCCCCTCACCAGCAGGTCTTTGGTGAGGATGGGCTCGTAGTCCTGGAAGATCTTGCTGAGCTCCTGGATCTTACTTTCTGCCCCCGTCTCCAGAAACCTCTCAAGCTCCTGGAGAGCGGCCTCCGCACCATCCTGGGACTGGCACTTGTCCACGGGCTGTGACGCCAGCAGGTAGATGCCCTCATCACACCACTTCATGGACTGCGGGGGGAGAAGGCACCTTGGAGGCTGTCCTGGCATCTCAGGCGGCCTGCTGACCTCTCCCCTCTGAGACCATCTGCAGGACGAAGCATGTGCCTCCTGCCCAGGTTCAGAGGGCTCCCCGGGGACACGGGCCTGAAACCAGGGGCCTTGCCCAGGATGGGACGCATCCACACTGAGGACCAAGTGCAGGGAACTGGCTGGCTGGTCGTCTCTGGCTTTTTGTGGCAGGTGAGTCCTTGAATCACCAATGTTGGCGCAGGACCGTCTGGGTCTTAGGAGAGGCCCTCGGGAGGCCGGGGGCCACTGTCTACGCAGCACCTGTGGTCTGGCCCCGGTGGGAGTGGCTCTGCAGGACCAAGGGTGGGGCCAGGCCTACCGCCTCCAGGAGGCCGTGCAGCTCCAGCGACTTGCCCAGCAGCCCCCTCCTCCGCTCCAGGTCGGCCGCGAACTGGTCACACAGGTGGCGGAGCTCATGGCACTTGGGGCGGATGGAGTCCACGGCGTAGTGCTTGTGGCCGATGAGCCGCTCGCCCTCCTGGGACAGTGCGCGGGCCCGCTGCACGGCAGCCTGCGGACGGCAGAGGCCGCTCAGCTTCTCTGGGCAGAGGGCGCCCCCTGCAGCCGGGCCGGCGGGGCGGGCTAGGGGCGGGCTGGGGGCCGGATGGGGCATACTGGGGGAGGTCTGGGGGTCGGCGCGGTAGGACGGTGATACTGCAGGCACGGGGTCCCAGCAGTCCCGGCGGTCCCGCCGCCCGCGTCCACACTTACACTGGACTTCTCCTCGAAGCCGGCCAGGTCCTTCAGGAGGTGCTGCACATGCGCCAAGCTGTTGCCCACATCAGTGAAGGTCGTGACCTTCTGGGCCAGCACGTCCAGGGCGGCTTTGACCTGACACAGGGCAGCGGGGCGAGGGGCCAGGCAGTGAGATTGTGGGAAGACCACGTCTGGGGGACTGAGGGGGCTGCTGTGGAAACTGGGTGCAGGGAGGGGAGGGGGCCCGGGCCTCCCCTCAGAAGGGGGACTAGATGGAAACTTCCTTGATCTGAGAGAGGACATCCACAAAACCCTCCTGCCAACTCTCCAGGTGTAACGCTGATGAGGCGGCCCACAGGGAGGGCCCTCCACTCTCATCAGCACGATCCCAGTGGTGGGCGCACCAGGGCAGACAAAGAACAGACACAAAGACATGCAGATCGAAAAGGAGGAAATCAAGCCATTTCTGTTTGCAGGTGGCCTGATGGTCTGTGTGGAAACGCTACAAAACAGAGCCTGGATTGAGTTCGGCAAGGTTTCAGGACACAAGATAAATACACAAGAGTCTGTTGTATCTCTACAGACAGCAATGATCACACAACACACAGGAATAAAAAGCATAACACCATCTACGGTTCCTTAAAAAATGAAACTTGTATGTGTAAACACAGCCAAACACATCTGAACTTGTGCAAACCATATAGCATTGGTGAAGGACACTGAAGAAAATCTAGACAGATGGACAGACGTGTGTTTACTGACTGAAGAGTAAGTGCAGTAAAACGCTGACTCCCCCTGAAGTGAGGCACAGGTTTAACCCAATTCCTGACAAAACCCAGCAGGACTTTCTTGGAAACACAGATCAGGTTATCTGACACTTGCACGGAAGGTGAAGGAACCGGAACAGCTAAGACAGCTGTGAAGCAGGAGAATAAAGGGGCAGGAATCCCGTCTGGAAGGGTGTACACGACGCACTGAGGTTCCAGCCCGACCCTCGGCTCCTCGAGGCCACGAGAGGTTCCCACAGGGTGCTTCACCCACTCCAGCGCCCCTCCGCAGCCCCCCAGGCCACTCACCTCTCGGAAGTCCTGCTCGAAATGCCGGAGCTGCAGGCACTGCTCTAGTTTTTGCTGATGTTTTGCCCAAAACTCGTCAAAGGCGACCTCGGTCTCGTTCAGCTGGGCCAGGAGCCTGGGGAAGGGGCGGCAGCCATGCTGGTGGGGGCCTGTGAAGCCCCCTTCTCGCAGCGCCAAGCGGCGGGGGGCTAGTCCACCCTCCACGTTGGAGAGGGCACGTCAGGGGCCCTGCAGGCCTCAGCATGGTGGAGGGCGTGCCCAGGCCTGGGCTGGTGTCTCCCCGCCTCACCTCTGCACAGTGCTCTGACTGTCCAGCTGGTCCTGGTTGGGGCTCTGCGCCAGCGGCTCCCGGATGCTCTCAAGGACGCGCCGCCCCTCGACAAGCGCCAGCCTCATGTCCTCCTGCGGGACGTCCAGGCTTGTCATCCAGGCCGCCAGCCCCAGACGTGGCCCCGGGTGGGGGCCGCGAGGGGTCAGAAGGCACCACGACGACCTCCGCCTGCCTGGTGCCCCGGGAGGGGGTGCTGGGAGGCACCAGCGTGGTGAGCAGGTGGGGTATAGGGTTACGGGTCTCCCGGGCAGCGGGCATGAGCAACAGGAAACCGGAGCCCCGCGTGTCCGCTCCACACCCAGGGGAGTGGGGGCGCTCTCGTGAGGGGCGCCCATGGACCGGCAGCGGGTCAGGGCCCCCTCTGACTCAGAGCCCACAGCGTGTGGCTGCCTTGGCCGACCCCATCACGTTCATCAGGAGGCCAGTGTGTGCTGTGACCGCAGGTCAGCTCAGCCATCCGGGTCCGCCCCCACCTCCCACCTGCTCCCTGGGGCACTGGGGGTGCCAGCTCATCAGGGGACCAGCAGGGTCCTGCAGCAGGGCTCGGGAGCCCGGCCAGAGACGCTGAAGGGCGGGTCCCAGTCCATCAGGTTCTCGGGAGCCCAGAACCGCCTCCGGGAGCTCCTGTCACCCCCCGCCCCCTCCCCACCCACCCCTCCCCGCCCCCTCCCGCCCCCCTCCCCACCTGCCGCAACCCTGCCCCACTGCCCCTCCCCCACCCATCCCTCCCCCATCTGCCCTGCCCCCTCCCCCTCTCCCCCTCCCCCACCACCTCCCACACACACCTTGGCTCTGTCCTTCTTCTCGGTGTGGGCGAGGAGCACGGAGCTCGTGGACTGCACGTCATTGGGCAGCTCCGTCTCAGCAAGCTCGGTCCCAAAGGCCTGCAGCATCTGCGCTGTCTGCTTGACCAGGAGGGCGAAGCTCTCGATGGCCTGTGGGGGAGGAGACTGTCACCCCGAAGCCCGTGCTCCTCGCCCTCCTGGGTTTGGAAGCCCAGCCGCAGCCCAGCCCCTCAGGAGGTCCCCCAGCCTCAGCCTCCGCTCCTGCACAGATGCCGGCTCTGCACCCGCCTGAGGGCGATGCCGGGAACCCAGCTTGAGCTTTTCTCTGTCCCCAAGTTCCTGAGAACCAGAAAGCCACTCCCGACATGACTCACGTTTCTCCTTCAGATGACCGAGGTCCACTGAGACCATCGGCTCATGCTCAGGGAGAAAGCTCGGGAAATGGCACGAGGTCCTTGGAGCAGGCGGAGGCCGCGCTGCGGGGCGGCCTGGGGCCACCGGGGGTGGGAGACTCACTGTGCGATGGCAGAGCCACCTGGAGTGGCAGTAGGCCAGCGTCCCGCCCAGGTCCTCCGTCAGCTGGGACTTGTCGATGTAGCCGTGTAGTTCTGGCACGGAGCTCAGCATTATGACCTGGGGGGGCGAGACCGCCGTAAGCAGAGTGCCCCGCAGACCCAGGCGGGGGGGCTTCCCAGCTCCTCCATGGCAGTCAGGGTGCGACGTGCCCTGGGCATCAGCTCTCCCGTCCATAAAATGGGCGCACGGTCTCGTCAGATGACAGCCCTCGGGAGTGAGCAAAGCCCTGGACGGAGCCAGGCACTCTGCTGACAAGGGGCATCTGACGGGTGAGGGGGCCCGTGCGTTGATGGAGCCAAAAGTCTCTTTGGACACAGAGTCCAAAGCCGCCCGCCTGTCTGCACTCCTGCCGAAACCCAGGAGGTTGCACGGAGGCGGAGGCGGGCGCTGAGCATGGCACAATGGCCTTTGTGGGGAACAGGGGCCCAGGAGGCTCTTCCACATGGGATGAGTTTTGTTTCCTGTCTTGCTCTTGCCCTTCTGAGGTCACTACATCCGCGAGCTTTGGATAAAAATACCGCCTTTGCTTTGCAAAGTCTCAGGCGCTGCCCCCAAGGTCCCGGAGGCTGTCCACGCGCCACTCAACACCACCTCGTGTTTTATTAAACACTGAGCCTGCTCCAGGCTGAGGTGACATCCGACACGCCCTGGGTCAACGCTGAGCATCTCCATGTGGGGGCGGGTGGAGGGGACGGGCTGCCCTAAGACCACAGAGGACACCCGCACAGCCGTCCGGGCACCCACGTTGACACCCTCGACAGAGATGTCATCTTCTCTTGAGAACAGGCTGCGGCGCCAGCTTTCAGCAGAGACATCTGGTCTCTCTTCACCACCCAGCAAGGCTGTTTGCCCAGAACACCCTGATTTACACCAACAGGAACGGAGATGGGTTGGTGAGCTATTCAAGGACTTAAGGCTCTTCCTCTGTGATTTCCGTCTGCTCTGTGTTGACGGAAAAGGCTGGAACCCACCAGTGCTCTTAACATTTTTCTGCTCAGCGCTGGGTCAGTACGGGCCCCAGGACAGCAACACGGACCCACTGCAGCAGCAGCCCTCCCAGGACAGTGCTTCCCAAGTTCTGAAGGGTGACCGAAACGGGCCGGGGAAGGGGCGTCATGGGCGATGGATCCTGTGAACCTGGGTTCTGAGAACTCATGGGTTTGGTCCCATGTGCAGGGTGCAGGGCCGCCGGGTGGAGGGCGACTACTGTACTCAGGGTGGAGACCCCCGCCCTCAGCGTCAGAAACCGAGGCTTTCTGATGGTACAGAGATGGGTGCACCCATTTCCCTCCAAAGCCTGGGGCCTGCACACCTGACCCCTGGCCGCCGAAGGCCCTCCGTCGGCACAAGAGAGCCGACCTTGGGGACGGTGGCCCACACTGGGGTGCTCAGGTTTCAAGAGCAGCCTGGCAGATCTTGCTGGGGAGGTCACGAGGTGCCAGGCACAAGCCCCTATGCTCCCTGGGTCCTCTGCCAGCAGCCCCTCCCAGCCCTGCTCCGGAGCCTGACTCGACGTGGCTGGCCTCCCAAGGGAACGCAGCTTTCCGGGTGCGCAGCCTCTAAGGGATCCACACAGCCTTGGCTTTCCGAGGACAGCTGGCGGCCACCGGGGCTGCCCCGTGCCAGCTAGAGTGAGGAGGTGAGGCAGGGGTCCCGCTGCGGCTGGGGGGTGTCGCTCACACCCACTTCCCTACCCCATCCCCAAGCACAGCGGGCACTCCCCACAGGAGGTGGGTACTTACCGGCACCTTCATCTTAAAGTCATCTCTGTTGAACCTGAAGGCGAGCTCGGAGAGCGTCCTCTGGAAGAACCCGGCTGGCCGCAGGACGAGGACAAGCTGCAGGTTTGCGGGGAAGGACGCCTGCGGGGACACAGGCCGTGATCAGTCTGGGGTCCACATGCCCACAGTGGCCCGCGGCCCCGCGGGGAGGACCGGGTGCCTCCTACACGCTGGCGCCAGCCTGGGGTGGAGCCAGGTACAGACACTGCACTCGGAGCATCGCCATCCCTCACGGAGAAGGACAGTCACTGCTTGGAATGACTGTGTTACGTGGCTTGTGATCTTAAAGGTCAAAAGCTCTGACCTTTTGGGGAACTACACTCAATACCCTGTAATAGCCTACAAAGGTAGAGAATGTAAAGATGTATGTTCATACATACGCATAACTGAATCCCTTTGCTGCACGTCTGAAACCAACACGACGTTATAAATCAGCTACACTTCAATGCAAACTTTAAAATAAAAAACCAACTGCGGGAAGAGCTTTGGCCTTCCCTTCTGGCTGAGTCATGCGTCCCCACACTCTTATTTTGGAGGTCAAGCCCCCAGCGCCTCAGAATGACTTTAGGGTCTTCACAGAAGTGACCGAGTCAAGATGAGGTCATCAGGGCGGGCCTCGCCTGACCGGCCATGCCCCATAAAGGTGACATCTGGGCGTCGAGACCCACAGAGGGCGCGTGTGGGGTGGAAGCAGACTGGGGGTGCTTCCACTGGCCGAGGGTCTCCAGAGGCCATTGGGGGGCACAGACAGACCCCCTCACAGCTGCAGAGGGTCTGGCCGGCTCAGACGTCCCCCTCCAGATGGGGAGACAGGAGACCCTGCTGTCTGAGTCCCGCTGTGGTCTGTGGTGTCTGTTATGATGGCCCCGGGAAACTGGGACACCGGTGGAGTGAAAACAGCCACACACACACACACACACACACACACGAGACAACACACACACACACACACACACACACACACACACACACGAGACAGGGAGATACAGGAGAAGTGGGCTCACAGCGGGGCGCAGGCCCCCACCCCCGGACAGGAGCTGACTCGTACGTGCATGTGAGCTTTGTGGACGAGGCGTCTGGCCCTGGACAGGTCGCCCTCTGCGCCCCGGACTCCCGCCTGGGCTCCCCGCCGCCCGCAGCATTCAGAGCCCAACTCCAGGCCGAGGCCGTGCCGGCCGCTCGGTCAGCCCCAGGCCCGGTGCCCGGGCCCCTGGCCTCTGAGAGAAAGCCCCTCCCGTGAGAGGGGAGCGAGCACAGGCCACAGGGAGCCCCCACCGGGCGGGCGGGCAGTGCCTCCGGGCACAGACACGGCCAGGTCCTGCCGCTCCTCTCCTGCCTCGCCCGGACCTGATGCCACCCCGCGCTCCCGTGTGGAAGCGCTGGGATCCTCCTGAGCTGTCCGCAGTCAGGACGGCCCCCTGCCCAGGACATCCGGAGACAACCCCCACCCACCCACACACCCCGGGTGCCGACCACGGCCCAAGGGGGCCCCTGACCCCTGGGCCGCCCCATGTGGCTCGCACGCGTACCCTCCCTGGCCTCCTCGCCCGGGCCCGCTCCGGCACGTCAGGGGGAGGGGTCACAGAGGCCTGGGGCTGGCTCCGTCTCTGAGGACCCAGCCATTGCGTCCTGAAGCCCACACCCCGGGGGCCACCCTCCCACCGTCTCTGGGGGCTCCCTGACCCCCTGTAGCCTCTGCGTCTCCCCGGGGCCCTGCCGCATCGTCCGGGCTCCAGACAAGACGTGCTGTCGGGCTGGGCCTCGCCGCCTCCTCCTGCTCAGGCTCCCACGTCTGAGCGTGAGCCCCCTTGCCAGGCGTGCTGGGGGCCCTGGCCCCCTCCCCGGGCCTCAGTCCCAAGAGTCACGCTCAGGCCGGACGCCTGCTCCGCAGTGCTCTGCTCCACCCGCGGCCACCTAGGGCTCGGGAGGCCCCCAGACCCCGCCTCCCCCCAGCCCCTCCTCTTCCTACCCCAGAGGTTCTGCACGGCAGGGCTCCCCACTGGTCACCCACCCCCCCAGTCACCCCCGCTGGTCCCCCCCAGGACCCTGAGCCGTGCCTCCGGCCTGGCCGCCCTGACCTCCTGCCTGCCGGCCCCGCTCCTGTGTCGCCCCGCCTGTGGCCCCGGGCGTGTCTGCCCCGCAGTCCCCAGTCACAGCCCTGGAGGGCAGGACCGCGTGGCCCCCGTGTTGCCCTGGAGCAGCCCCTCTGGGCACCGTGGGCAGCGGCGAGAGACAAGGTGGAAGGCGGGCGGCTCACGGCGGGAGCTCCGGGTCCCCGTCAGCAAGAGGGCCGTGGACCCCACACCAGGCGTGAGACCGGCCCCCACGACTGCAGAACTGCGGCCTCCAGCATCTTCCTGGAGGCGGCACTTAGTCACGTTTCCCGAGTCTTCAGCACGGTTTTCTGCCCTTATTCACACCTGCTGACAGGTGTGGTCTGAGCTCACAAGGCTCCGTGGGCCTTCACGGGGACCCACGTGGCGGGGTCACCTCTGCCGGGAAGCCCTCCTGGCGTGCAGCTTCCCTCCGCGGGGCGCTCATCGCCCGGTGCTCAGGCCTGAGTCACCGCCGCCCAGGTGGCAGCCCCCAGCATTGCTGAGGAAACGGCTATTTCACCACATTGGGAATATTCACCGCCTGACCTGAAAATCCCGAGTGTCTCAGGAACTTCGGTCCATCCCTCCTCTGCACACAGAGGGCATCGGCTTTACAGGCCAGACCGGAGCTCCACCCCTCGCAGAGCGAACACGGTTCTCACCGTGCTTTCCTTCGGGTCGAGCTCGAGGGCTGGCTCGGCTTAGTCTCCAAACAGACCTGCAGCTTCTGTGGTGGTGTCCTCCCCACACTCGTGTTTAAAAAAGGGGCCCCTTCCCCTTTAAAAGAAGGGAACCCCGGAAGAGTAAACACAGCATTTTACAAAAGACACATCCATCAGAGGGTGGTCCAAATCCGGGTCCAGCTCTTGGGCCAAGAGCGAGGCTTGCACTCTGAGCCATGGGTCTCGCCCGCGGCTGTGACTGTGGCCGCCCACTCAGAGCTGCGGTGGGCTCTGCTCTCGATGCGGACACAGCAGGTCTGAGCTTAGGGACACTGGACTGTGGACCCCCCAATGTCTTGTTTTCCTTTCCAAGCCGAACTGAAGGCATCCAAACAAGGAGAAAGAGTGCCCCGAAGGAGAGAACGCACAGCTCATGAGACAGCACATGAGGAGGCTTAAAATAGCCCCGAATTTCAGCGCGTTATGTAAGCACCCAGGCTCCCTTGGGGGGCAAACACAATGGGATAAACAGCCTCTCTGCTGCTGGCAGCAAAGTGTGGCCGTCCAGGCTGGGGTGCCGGTGCCTGCAGGGGTCCCCTCGCGGGCTCCAGCCCAGCAGATGCCAGGGGGTCTCTCCCCCAAGCCCCCTTGGATGAAGCACAGGCCGGCGGGGCTGGTAGTCCAGATAGATCCACGGTGGGGGATGGCGTCAGTGTGCCAGCTCTGCCCACCCCCTGCGGAGCCAGGGAGGAGATGGACCCGAGCGCTGGCTCGGCGTGGGGCGGGGACAGGGGCCCTGGGGGCAGCCAGGCGGGGCCTGCAGTGTCCCCACCCCCGTGACCGCGTCCCGCGCCCCGGCAGGTCCAGCACCTGGTCACAGGGCAGCCGCCTGCAGCCCGCTTGTCCACATAGTCCTTGCTTCCCCGTGTGTCCACAGCACTGCCCACCATGCCAGGCAGCATGCGCCAGTAAGTGTGCTGCAAACACAGGCAGGACTTCTGGCCTTAGTACGATCAGCAAATTCATGTAAGAAAAGGCACTGGAGTTCAAAGAATTTTTGACAATTTTGCTGGAAAGTGCTAACTTCCAGGGCTTCCAAAGCAGCACAGGCTAACCCCAAAGCTTACAGAAACAAACCTACATTTTTACTGCTGTCAGGATCAGTGCAACCACTGCAAAAATCAGCTATGACTTTCACAAAACAAAGTTTTAAAGATGCACCAGCTCTCTTCAGAAGTCCACCTGATTATCAGCTCGGCGAAGACCATGTTCACACTCGGCAGCGGGAGAGCGCGACCGATGGCTGGTCTGCCCTGGACCATCCCGCTGGCTCGCTGGGGACCTCAGGGGTTGTTATTAAAAGTAATTTGTCTGGTTCTTAGCAAACAATCCTGCCTTTGGTCAGCCTTGCTAACTGACCAGAGTGGCTAATTAGCGGGGAAAGCATTTACGAGGCTCCTGTCTCACCCAGGGCCTGGGATGGGTGTTGGCTACACGAAGATGGACGGGGTTGGCCCTGGCCTCGAGGGACCGCAGTGTGCAGAGAGGGAGGGTGCCCCGCCGGGAGGGGAGGCCAGGCAGGGCCTGAGCGAGAGCTGCTCTGGGGGGCGCTGGGGGGCTGGAGGGCACAGTGGCAGCTGCCCCGCCTTCAGGTGAGGGCGTCCCAGGGGCAGGGAATGGCAAGGACGTGAGGTCTGGACCCCCATCTCCCCAAGAACTGGCTGACTGACGCCCCTGCACACCAGTGCACGTCCGAGATGCACACCAGTGAGACAGATGCACGTAAAAGACTTGGGCGATCACTGGACCTGAAAATGTCAGTCTGACCGTGTAACCTCTCAAAACAGCAGCACACTTGACGGGAGACTCACTGCCATCCCGCCCAGGGTTAACTTGCTGATTCCAGAATCACCTCCAGAACGTCCTCTGTGCGCCTGGCCCGCTGGCTCTTACAGTTTAATCCTTAATTTGGCCGGCCGGGGGACACCGTGTGCAAATTCACTTTAAAACTTAAAATAATGAAAGGGCCACGCTGGCTATTAGCTGGTGGTGGCACACAGTCCCCTGCGAGCGCCTAAGGATTCAAAAGCACAGGAGCGCTGACCATGACCGTCTACACACTACACCGTACGCTTCTAAAACACTCCCGAGCGTTTAGGCTAGTTTCAGGTAAATGGCAACGTGGAGGGCGTGTGTCCACTGGGGCGGGGACAGGAGCCGCCTGGGGGCAGAGGGAGAGGACTTGTCAGGATGGGCTGGGCCGGCACCCGGGAAAGGTGAGCACCAGGACGGCCAGTGCGAGCCTCGGGGCGGGGCCTGAGCACCAGGAGGAGGAGTCGGATCTCCTGCCCCCAGACCCCAGCCCAGCAGCCTCAAAGTGGCCAGCGCAGGATGCCGAATGAGGGCCTGGGGGCGGGTCACCCCATGGGGTCAGGAAATCGCAGTGTCACGGCCGGCCGGAGACCCCGGCACAGGCACTCTGGGCAGCCCTGCTGCAGACAAGCACAACTATCATCCTCTCTGCAGGGAGAAGCACTCCCCACCTCTCTACCCAGCTTGAGTGGGGGTGGAAGCCAGCGCCAAAAATAAGAGCGGGCTTTCTGCTGAATGCACCGCCCTCTCCAGCTATCCCGAGGCTAAAAACAGCACCCAGTGCCACAGGCCAGCCGCTTTTCCACTCTGAAGGGCGGCTGTAGTCTGCAGACTGGAAGAAAACAACATGGGAAAAGCTAGTCAACGTAACCCCACACCCATAGCCTGAAGGTGCCCTGTGACACCCTCATCACCCTCAAGGATGACCGCCCTGTAGGTCACCCAGGCGCTCACATGCTCAGCGTCAAACACAAACCAGCAGGTGGCATTGTTTTCAAGTTATAACACTGCCTCTGAGAGTTAACCCATGTGAGAACACACATGCATGCATATACACGTGCGCACACACACACACACTTGTACATGCATGCACACATGCGCACGTGTGCATACTTGTACATGCATGCACTATGTGCACACACATACTTGTACACGCATGCACACATGTGCGCGCGCACACACACACACGTGCCCGAGCAGCTCAAGGAGCCCAGGGAGGTGTGCGCTGGTCCTGCCCAGGCCCCAACTGGCGCCTACCTCGGCCTTGGGCCCAACCACGCATGCAGCTCCGGCCAGGACCCAAAGCGCCACCGGGCAGGAAAGGCCGTGTCCCCCGCCTGGAGAAGGCGTGGGGGTCACAGGCCGGACACCGACACTTACCGCTATTCTCAGGATGGACGCCTTGACTGAGGTCCATCTGTCCTGCCTGCGGTCTATAACCAGGATGAACCCGATGCCAGCGTCCTGCAGGCTGAAACGAGAGAGCACGGTCAGTGTGCGCCCGGAGGGTCCAGTCGTGGCTGCGGCGTGTCTCTGGGAAGAGTCGGGGTGAGCGGCCGCCCCAGAAGCCCTCACACCACTCCTGTTCCACTGGGTGCCACAGCCAGGGGAGGACGGAGCCACCTGCAGCGCTGCCCTGAGCTTGGCGGGCACCTCCCTTGCAGGGCTCACTCAGACCGAGGTGAACAGACAGGCGCCACATTGCTTCCCGCCCTGACACCGACCAGCTCGCAGTGCAGAGAGGTGGGCCGGGCCCCTCTGTCCCGGAGCCCAGCTGCTCCACTGGAGCCTGGCAGCTTCCCTTCCACGTGGACTTGCCAGCGGGCCCGTCACAGGGAGCCTACGGCCTGGGCGTCACCTCAGCCCCAGCATCTGGTCCCCCTGGCTCATTCACGGTCTACAATCACCGTCGAGGTTGATGGCACAGCCGCAGCTTGGGGAGAGCCCCCCGCGGTGCCCGGCGGAGCGCAAGCATCCGATAGAGACAGGAGACGAGAGGCGGCTTCTTGAAGCGGCAGCATCCGTGAGAAAGATGCGGAGGCCGGGAACGACAGCCCGTCCCTCTCAGCCTGACACGCCTGAGTCACCGCCGACCCGGAGGCACTTCTGCGGGACGACCCGCCCCCAGCCCTGCCAGGCGGCGTGGGCAGCAGCGCCCGCCAGCCAATCCTGTGAAAGACTGAGAGCACGGGCCTAGGCTCCAACTGGAGCGCTGATTGCCAAGTCTCTGCACACATCCGGGAGCCGCAGCCACGTTTAAACAAAAACCAGAACTACATGCGTTACATATAAATTATGTGGCCGTGGCAGTACTCTGCCGGCTGCAAATGTTATGTAACATGGTGAGAGCTGAAACAGCCCCAACCCTCCCTGATCTCAGTGGAGGGACAGAGACACACAGTCCCACCTGTGTGGGTATGCACACCTGTGTGACCGTGCGCGCCTGTACGGGATCAGGCGTTCCTGTGCAGGTGTGCACACCTGTGTGGGTGAGGGTCCTCTGCGGAGACGGCCCCTCCCAGCGGCCCCTCTCCTCTGTGGGGGACAAGTCACAGGCTGTCCACTGATGACCAGCACATGCCACTTCTCCACAGCCTGTGTCTGCAGCACCCCCCGCCCCGCTTCCTGACCAGCTTCCCTGTGGCCCCGCTGCTCCTGGGCCCGCGGTGTCTCCTCTGCGGCCCCTGTGCTGATGGCCTGTCCCCTTTAGGCACAGGCAGGGCGGGTGGCCTGGCCACAGGCGGTGCGATATGGCCCGGGGCCTCCACTCCACCGCCTGCCTCATTTGCACATCCCAGCCGCCCCCCACCGCCCAGTCCCTTGGGGTCCTTAACTCACTCTGCGTTTGAACACCAGACGGTAAAAATTCCGTGACATCAAAGCTTCCTATTACAGCTGCAACACACACACCGGCATCATGAACAGCACTGACAACAAACAGCGGAGAGGCGAAGGGGCCTTTGAAAGTTACCATTTCAGGTGAAGTGTAAGGAGTCGACTGGACTCACGAAAGTGTGCCCGGAAGGTGGGTTTTTAGGCCAGCAGGTGTGGAGCAGGCAGCTCACGTTCCTGGTTTAGGAAGCACACAGACTCGAGCTCTGTGGCCATCTGGCCACTGCCCAGCAGGGGCAGGTGGGGCAGCTTGAGGGCCGGGCCCCTCCCACCCACGGGCCCCGCACTGACGCTTGGGCTGTGTGCCTCCTTCAACCCTCGTAGTGACCCAGGAGGCAGCTGGAGTCACGGATGGAGGCTCAGACAGACAAGTCATTTGCCCAGAATCACACAGCTGGTGATCGCAGACGGGACGCCCATGGTCTGGTTCCCCGTCTAGACTCCCCAGGCTGCGTCCGCCCTGCAGGGCAAAGCAGCCCCTCTGTCCCGCCCACCCAGGACTGTGTCGGATCAGGCAGGGTCCTCCCCTTCAGGGGGCCCGGCCCCAGGAGCAGGCAGAGACGCCCCACCCAGGACCCGGCTCGGGGCCACAAGCGGGCTCTCCCAGCCCCGCCTCGTCTCCACCACAGCTCCACCACCAGACGCAGCAGGAGGCGCCTCACGCGAGGACCCAGGGCCCCCCCACGGCCCCCTCCACCCCCAGGACTGCAGCCCCAGAGCCAGGCTGCGTGGCCCGCCCCCGCCCCCGGGAGCCCAGGCCCGGCCCCCAGGGCCCATCCGCCATCCTGTGCGCACAGGAGGGCCGTCTGTGACCTCACGCGCCCAGGGGAGAGGCTGAGGGCTGCTGGAAGGGGCCGCCGAGTGAGGCTGATGAGTCACTTTTGGCCCAAACAGTCCAATAGGCACAGAGCTCTCGCAGAGTCTGGTTCCGGGAGCCACGCGTGCACGGGTGTCCCCCCACAGGGGTCACGGGGGCACAAGGGCCTTGACCCGGGGGAGGGTCAGTGTTCCTGGGGACGCGTGCACCGGGGCCTGCTTGGCCTGGCGCTGGAGTGGGGGAGCAAGCCTAGCAGCGGGGCCAGGGGCCTAGCGGGCTCTTGCGGGGGGTGTGGGCAGGTTGGCGTCCGTCCCAGATCAGGCCTGGCAGGTGTGGACAAGGCGTTGGGGAAGTGGGTCCCCAGGGTCCGTGGGAGGTAAGGTCTAACCTCCCAGAGGGGCCCTGGGGGCTGGGCCAGGTGGGGGTGGAGAGGCCAGGTGGGGGTGGGGGTAGGGGGCCAGGTGGGGGTTGCGGGGGGGAGGCGATGGGGGGGCCAGGCAGGGGGTGAGAGGGGAGGGGATGGGGGGCCAGGCAGGGGGTGAGGGGGGAGGGGATGGGGGGCCAGGCAGGGGGTGAGGGGGGAGGGGACGGGGGAAGAACAGTCCTACTCGAAGGCCCCCCTCCCCCGGCCACACGGCTTTGCCCATCTCTCTCTCTCTCCACCCCACCCTTGGACGTGGTCTGGGAGGCTGCGAAGGTCACAGAGACGTGGCTGGGCCTGTGCACTGGCCTGGGGCCCGCCCGCCAGGTCTGTCTGAGCGCGGGGACGCAGGGCAGGGCCTGAGGGCTCAGGCCCAGCCTTGGTTCCGGCCGCCTCTCCTCTGTCCTCAGGACTCAGAGCTGCCCCGTTAGGCACCAGACGTGCAGCACGGTTTCTCTGCGCTGGTCAGCTCGTCAGAGCTCGACGGCAAGAAAAGCCTCGGACCTTTCACAAAGCTCCCCACGCGCTGACAGCACCGCGTCTGCCCTCAGGCTCCGCGCCCGTCAGGGTCAGGCGCGCCGGGCCCAGCAGGGCGGGGCAGGCGTCCCGGGCGCGCCGGTGGCCGCCCCCCCCACGCCCAGCGGGCACTGTGCTTCTTGCTCAGTCGTGTCCGACTCTGCAACCCCGTGGACTGCAGCCCGCCAGGCTCCTCTGTCCATGGGCGTCTCCAGGCAAGAATCCTGGAGTGGGCTGCCATTTCCTGCTCCAGGGGATCTTCCCCACCCCAGGATCAAACCTGCATCTCCTGCACGGCAGGCAGATTCTTTACTGACTGGGCCACCAGGTGGGGGAGAAACCCCACCCAGCACACAGATTCCATGACTACGTGAAACGCACACAGAGTCGGCCACCACTTTGTAACCAGAGTGACTGCGCCCTCCGAGGGCGTGAGCCTGGCGCCCCTCGGGAAGCCAGACTCCCGTGAGGACCCTCTGGGGCCCGTGTTACCTGTTTCATGTGCAGGCTCCAGGTCGGGGCTGCCCCGTCGGCCCGCGCCCTCCAAGTGAGTCCTGGGCCCGACCTGGCTGTGGTCCTCACTGGAGCTGCTCAGGCGCCTCCCTCCTCCCAGAGCTGAAACCCCAGCAGAGGCGGCCTCTGGGCACGCAACCCCGCTGTGTGCACAGGCTGGTGGGTCAGCCTGGGCTCCCAGGGAGGGGCTCCCACACCCCTCACGGCAGCGCGGGGCAAGCCCCCTCCTCCCGGGCAGGTCTCGTCCTCCTCCCGCAGGGGAAGGGAAGGGCCGGCCGCTCTGAGCCGGGCACCAGCACATCACAGCTGCGTGTCCCCCACGCGGGGACAGCCCACGCTTGGACTGCCCTATACGGCAGCCCCCAGCGCCTGGGAACTAAACTTTTATGTTTATTTAACTTTAATTTTTCAAATTAAATGATGTTGGATGGCACTGACAGAAAGAAGATGACAAGAAAGAAAGCAGATGTTTTCTGAGACGGGTGGCCTCTGGCTCCCCAGGAGAATGAGATCGGGAGGGTGGAGAGACAGAACCCATGGGAAGAGCTCGCCCCGTGGGTAGGGGACCTTGAGCTTCAGATACACGGACTAACTGGCTGAGGCCGGCCACGGACAGCAGTGAGAATGGCCTTCACTTGGTTCTTACATGAGCCCGAGGGCCTGAGGGCTGCTGCAGCAGAGCACCCCGCCCGCCAGACGGGGAGCAAGGCCGCTTTGACGGCAGGAAGCCGAGACGGCCCAGCTGGAGCTCAGTGCCCGTCCATCCACGCCAGAGGCAGCCGCAGAAGGACAGGCAGGGCGCCCGCCGCAGGCCGACACAGGAAGGGGCTGGGACGACACGTGTGTGCAGTCTGCTTTGGGGAGCTTTGCACAGGGATGCGGCTGGACGCTCCCTGTGGTTTCCTGTGGGGAGGGTGAGAGCTACTGCCTGTCCACAGACATCTGGGGTGTTCGGGACACGTTCACACATTTTCTGTCTTTATGTGCAAAAGTCAACCAAAAATTCAGGTGGACGTCACAGCCACAGCAAGAAGTGAGGTCCTGCCAGGGGCCGAAGGCCAGACAATCTAAAGCTTAGTGAGCTCGATGGGGCAGGGGACAGCCTGGCTGGAAGACTCTGCATGAGGCGTGGCCCAAACGTGGGGGTGCAGCTTAAGAACAGCACTTAAACCCTGCTCCTTCCACAAGTGCCCTGCATTTGTCTGCCATGCAGCCCACACAAACAGCATGTCGGGACATGTGTGCACGTGTGTGGTCTGTATGCTTGTGTGTGGTGTGTGCGCACAGGTGTGCAGTATACACTCACTCCTATGCATGTATGAGCATATATGTGTGTGGTGTGTGATGCATGCCTGTGAGTGCACACACACCTGCATGTACACATGTGGTGAGCACAGGTACCCATGTACCTATGTGTACATGTATGGTGAGCACATGTTCACCTGTGTGTACACACATTTGGTGCATGCATGCACCCCTGTACCTGAGTGTACACACACGTGTGTACACCTGTATCTGTGCACACATGTGGTAAGCACATGTACACCTGTGTGCACACACATGTGGCGAGTGCATGCACCCCTGTACATGTGTGTACACACGTGTGGTGAGTGCGTGTACGCCTGTACCTGTGTGTACATGTGTGGTGAGCACACTCATGCCTGTGTGGGAGTGACCTGTGTGCACGCATCTCTCCTCAGGGTGAACGTGGCCCAGCACGAAAACCACCTGGGAGAGGCTCCTCTGTCTGCAGCAGTGGGGCGATCCGAGCCGGGTTCACAGAAAGTCCACGTCCTTATCAGCCTGAAGTCATCTGGGACCCAGTCCTGTGGTCCCCCGGCTGCGGAGGGGCAGCACGTGTGCAGGAAGGTGGCCCTTAGGTGACATCTTCCAAACGCAGCGGGCAGGTGCGGGAGGCCTCCAAGGATCCTGCAGGGTGGCTAAGTGAGTCCTTCAGAGAAAAGCCAGAAGCCTGCTATCTCGGCGTTGGCAACGCCGTGACCCTGCGTGTGAGTGTGCACGCGTGTGCCGGTGCGTGTCTGCACGGGTGTGCGCCTGCGCCCACAGGGAGACCTCCGGTGGGCACCTTCAGTGGGAGGGGGCGGCTTTTGCCGCAAGGAGGGAGGGAGGGGTAAGGGGCGTTTTCCAGGAGACCAGGAACAGGCCTCCTGTTCTCATGCGTCTGCTGCGTCCGGGCGAGGCCTGCCCAGCAGCCAAGACTTTTGGAATGACCCGCGACCGTGAACCAGATACAGCGGCCTGAACTGGCGCTCCTGCCCCCATGTGAGATGACAGAGAACAGGGGAGAAAGGTTTCAGAGGACCAAGCGACGCCTGTTTGGTGACCGTAGGCGTCAGCGTCTGGGAAGCCGGGGGCTCGTCCACTGGACCTGTGTGGACCGTAGAGCCCGCCTGGTCGCAGAACGCCCCCCGCCCCCACCGCGCCCCGCCTGCCTGGAGTCCCGGCCCCCTGCCCGACTTCCGGACTCCCCGGTTTAGGAGACTTGGGCCCGCAGTACCGGCCACCGCCGCCAGGTGGCAGCCCGCCCCACACGGGCCCCACGCGGAGGCCTCGCGGGCAGCGCCCCTGCCCTGCCTTACCCACGGACACCGAGTGTCTCCCCACCTGTAAAGGTGCACCGAAGCTTACAGAAACGCAGCTGCGTGTGAGCTGACGGGCGGCAGCACTTTGGCTTCCCTCACTCAGGGCCGATCCCCACCGCTCCCCCAGGAACCGCCCCTGACAGCTCTGGGGGGCGGGCCGGGTCCGGGTGGGCAGGGTTCCCCCGCCTCCCGGAAGGCCTGTCGGGCAGCCCCTCCCGTGCTGGCCCTTCACGCAGCTGAGGAAAGACGAGCCAGTCCCAACGTGGGGTTTCACTCCGGGTGGAAGGGCATCAGGTCCGCCGGATTCCGCCCCGCCCCCCCCCCCCCCGCTACACCCTCCACCCAGAAGAACAGACGTGAACGGAACACGCGTGACCATCACGATACACACGTCCACCTGGAGACAGAGCCGCGGGTCTGCGCCGCACCCACGTCCACACACCGCGGCCCCCCAGGGACGCAGTGACACAGGGTGAGCCTTCCTTGGCTTCAACGGGAAGCGTGTGCCCTGCTCACGGATCCCGCAGAGACTGTGCCGGCAACCTTGGAGATCAGGGGTGGGAGGCTCCGCCCTGCTGGGGTGAGAACCGTTTAAAAGGGGGAGAGACAAAGGGGCTGGTCCCTCTGAAGGAGGGGCAGGGGTGCTGGGGTGAGGGACGGGGGGGCCCCCAACCCCCAGACCTAAGCTGATCTCACTGTCTGAATGAAGCCTGTCTGTAGCGCAAAGGCTCAGCGAGCAGCTGCTGTCTGACCCGCGTGCAGGGCACACACAGACCCACGCCAAGTGCCACGAGCGGGGACTGTCCAGGTGCGTCCGCGAAGCTGGGCCGCCAGGGGCCTGGGGCCTGGGGCTGGTGAGCGTGACAGAAAGCCCTCCAGAGGAGGGGGCCCCCACGCGAGAAGGAGGCACCTGGGCTGAGGGCGAGACAGCAAGGGCCCCGAGGCCAGGAGGCCCGAGGGTCAGCAGCACCAACGGGGGTGGTGACCCAGGGAGGGGAGACCAAGAGGGGCGGGGGGTCGGCATGCTGTGCCCAGAGAAGGCTCACCTCCGCCCCGCCAGAGAGAAAGGGACCTCTGCCCTCTCCACACCTGGGAGTGACCTGAAACCTGAGATTCCCGCACCGGCAGGGAAGGCCACCCCAGAGAACCATCTCAAGCGGGCAGTGGGAGACCACAGAAGCCCCGTGTGGCCCCTGGCTCAGCCCACACGGAGAGGTCACTGCAGATGGCTGCCCGCCAGACGTGCGGTCCAGGGCCCACCACCGCCTTGCCCGGGGGCCGCTTCCGGAACAGGGACTCAGACCCTCCCTGGGCAGCGACCACACGGACCTTACTGTGCTGTGAGCTCCACTGCCCAACCTGGGGCGGGCCTGGTTCACAGGGGACGAGGGTCACGGGGGGAGCACAGGAGGGGCGTCACAGGGCCAAGGGCCACGCCCCTCCTGGACGTGGAGCCCTCAGCCCTGGAGACATCACGGAGGAGAGCTGGCCAAGCTGGCCAGAAGCCTGCCCTCCGGAGGACCAGCGAGACCACTGGGCCCATGGTCAGTGGTCCACAGCCGGCCGTCTCCCTGTTAAACCCCTGGGCTCCCTGAAACCAGCGTAGCCGCCCTTCCTCCCACTTGCCTGTCCCCGGCGTCCCACCCCCGGGCCGGGTGGCTTTTCCATGCCCCCCTGCTGGGAAACCAAGAGCCAGACCCACCGTCCCGGATCCCCACCCCAAATACCCCTCGGTGCCACTCCACATGGGCAGCCCCACCTCCTGTCCTCTCCAGACCCTTGAACCCACTCAAGCAACGTCCCCTGAGGTCCAGGGCCCTCGTCCATGGGACGGGAGCAACGCCTGCCTTCCTGGCTGGAAATCCAAGGGGGAAGGTAAACGAGACGCAGGATCGCCAGCCTCCATGAAGTCCCTCACGGCCTGCCCAAGGGCCCTAGGGAAGACCAGTCACTCCTAGGACAGTGGCTGGGCCACCCACCTCAGCTCAGCTGCTCGGAGCCTGGCCCAGCAAGTCGGGTCCACAGGAGGAGGGGGACAGGGACCACAGACCTCCACCCCACCCCGTGGTGCCGTCTAGGTGCTCCTGCCAAGTGACCCTCACCCCCCACGGCCTGTGGAAGGGTTCTTCCATCCTAACACCCCCACCCCACGCTGGGCAGTGAGGAACCAATGCTGACCAGGTCCTGGCGGTCACACCTGCTGTCCGGCTGGCCTCCTAGATTAGACCAGCTCATCGTGCTGTGACAGGGAACCTGGCCAAGGGGGCATGCTGACGGCACCCTCGGGGCAAGCCTGCCCTGCACTCACCTCCCCCTTGGGCACTTCGAAAAAGAGAAGCATCCGCCCCCAGGCCACTCCCTGCGGCCCAGCGGGTTGGCCGGGGCGGGAGGTCCACGCCTCACCCGTCCAAGGTGGGCACCAGGGCAGAACTGCATCCGCCCTTGGCCCCCTGACCGTGGAGGAGTCTCTGCACCCCTAGGATGAGGGATCGGGGCCCTCGCGCACCTGGGGATGCTGGTGAGGTAGGTCATGACATTCTGGAAGTCCTGGTCCGGGACGTCACCAAAGGCCGGGTAGTCGGGAAAGGTGATGACTGGGCTGCCGTCCTGGCCCCGCCCGCCTGGGGAGGGGGGAGGACAGCGGTCGGCACCCCTGGGGCCTCAGGGGCGAGTGGCCCCAGATCCCACCGCGGGGCCACAGAGCCCCCGCACCCCACAACGCGCGCCCCACGCCCCTCCCCTGCCCCTGAGCCCCGCCCCTGCACCCAGCCCCGCCCACACTCCATGCCCCCTTGGCCCCGCCCCGCTGTTAGTCCCGCCCATGTTCCTGCACCCCCGCCCGCACCCAGAGCCCCGCCCCAGCCCCGCCCACCAACCCAATCCCACCCACTAGCCCGCCACGCCCACTACACCCCGCCCCGCCCCTAAGCCGCGCTCCGCCCCTCCCGGCCTGGCACTCACCCGACAGGTAAGCGAAGCGCTTCTGCAGCTGGTCCCGGATGTCGGCGGCGCAGAGCGGGCTGATGTCGTGGTGCATGATCTCATCTGCAGGAGGACAGAGCAGACGGACACGCAGTCACCGGGGACCGCCCCCCCGCGTCTCGGCTGGGTCAGCCCCACCGCGGACACCGAGGGGACCAGCGCTCGCGGGCCCGGCAAGGGGGCTCCACTTTCCTGTACAGAAACCGTTGTTTCCCAGCACACACAGAGCTGTGCGCGGAGTGAGTCATCAATATTTAACGTGGTGTGTGTCAGAGGCACGCAGAAAGGCGCAGGGATGGACAGAGAGAGGAAGGGACAGAGAGGGGCGGGCAGGCAGAAGGGATACCCGGGGTGCAGAGCAGGGCCTGGGACAGCTGCGCAGGGAGCAGGCTGCTTTGCTCCGCAAGCGCACAGCCATGTCCTGGAAGTGGCCCAGGCCATCCCTGGGCCCTCACCTGCTGTCTAGGCAATGACTCACTGGTCAGAATGGAAACCTGGCCACTGCAGTGGGTCCACACACACACCTGGCGCCTCACCCCTGCCAGACACTGACCCTGAGCAGGGCTCCAAGACCGTCCCCAGCCCAACGCTGATGCCCGCCAGTCCTAGACCAGGGCCAGCAGCGACCCAGCCACAGCCTGGAGGCATCGACCAGAAACAAAGGATTAGCAAGACTCCTGAGAACGCAGACACGGACAGGGGTGTATGAGGTGCTGGGGCATCGGCGGGAGGCCACAGGGCCAGGGTGTTGGGCCTGCGGGACCTGCATCTTAGCGCTGCCTGGCTGGTACTGCATGACTGACACCCAGTGTCTTGTGTCTGCAGGCCTGGGTGTCCTGGAGATTTCTCTACAGACACTCACGACTCATGCTGGTCACTGGCAAATGGCTTAAGTCAGTTCTTCTATACCCGGATTAAGACACAGGCCCCTCACAGGCTGGAGATTTGGGCCACGGAGACCTTGGAGAGAACTCAGTGGAGGTAGCAAAATGCCCTCCGCCCTCTGCATGGCCAAGCCTCCATCCTGCATACAGGCACGCGGGAGCAGGTGGTGTGTTAGACGCAGGGTGAGTCCCAGAACCTGGCTGTTGTCTGTGGGCCTGCTGCCCCCACACCGGCTGCCTTATGACTCTGCCTGGCGCAGAAGAGGAGAGAGTGGGTCCGTGCCCCCCACAGAGCGGGCAGCACTCCAGGTTTGGGACTGAACGGGGATTCACACCCATCACACTCAGGGCCGGGGCTCCGGCAGTCAGCCCACAGCAGCTCAGGGCGATGCAGCCTCCCTGCTCACGGAAACCTCTCAGCACGGCTTCTTTTGTGGGACAAAAAAACAGCTGGAAATGATCACGCCAAGAGAACGTGAAATGTTTCTAATTCCAGACGCGGTGGATCACGGCCGTCACACCGCATTTGTTTGGAACACGTGTCGGGTGTGACAGACACGCAGCTGCACGGAGGCTGGGAGGCCAGGTTTCACGCTGCCCACACTGTCTGTCTAGCGTGGACCCTGGGCTCCTCGAGGCCAGAGACATTCCCCAGGGCAGCGGTGCAGGTTTCAAAGCAGGGTGACCTGCACAGTCCATTCAGACAAACAGACACAACTCCTGCATGTTCGATAGCCGCTGGCTGCCCCTCAGAGAGCAGTTTCCAGCCACCATCGAGGGTCGCGGTGCGTGTCACGTGACCCCCCGGTGGACGGCGGGTGCTGGGGGGGTGAGACACTCGCTCCTTTATTCTGCACTCGAGGGGCTGCAGCTGGTTGAGAAGGAAGTGAGGTCCCCGCCTGCCCTTTCTGCAGTCTGGGCGGGAAGTGGGGTCGGCCCGCCCACCAGCTCAGGGTCAGGGTCAGGGGACACCCGGCTCCTCCACAGACCCGCTGTGTGTGTGGACAGTGCCTCATAGTTAACCACCGAGCCCAGCCTTCCCGTGGCCCAGACGTGCACGGAGACTGAGGCTGTGACCCGTCACAGGGCCATTCGAGGCGGGAGGGGTGCAGGTGGGCGTCGGGAGGGGCACCGCGGGGCACAGAGCCCGCTGCCCGGTCAGGGGCCAGTGGGAACGGCCCCTCGCTGAGCTCACGGCTCAGCCGTCCAGAGACCCAGCTCAGCTGTACACGAGGACAAAGGGGAAGGACCCCCCTGGCCCGCCTCCCCCGCTGGAATCTCTGCCCACAGAGCTGTCCCGAGTCCTGCTTGGTCTGGGCAGCATCAGAGAGTTGTTGGGGTGGGGCACCATTTCATCTTTATGCCACTTCATCTTAACACAATCAGACTCCGGCAGCAAACTTCCTTCCTCTGGCAAACTGACTCGCGGACTCTCTCTTTAGGACGAGGATTCTGTAACGCGTCACGGGAGGCCTCTGAGAGGCTGTGTTTGCCAGCCCCACCTCGGGGAGGGGGCACACGGGGCGGGGCTGGCAGGGCGCAGAGTGGACCCTGGGAGTCCTGGAAACCACCCCAGGTGGTGGTGGCCGGGGTCAAAGGGGCCCACAGACCCAGCAGGAGCCTGGTGTTCGGGTTCGGGGGCTGGTTCCTGCCTCGTGGGTGACCGTGGACCTCACAGCGAGGAGACAGGAGGCTGAGCAGGGCTCTTGAGACGGGGTCTGCAGCTGGCTGGAGGCCCTGGGCTGTGAAGTCCACTAAGTCCGTCACAAGCTCATTCCCTTCCCTATTTACATCTGGCTGAACGTCCACACCCAAGGCTTCCGTTTGTTTTCTATCAAAATACACCCGTGACGCCCTTTCAGAGTTCGAGGTGGAGAGTACGTGGGGGCCTCCACCTGCTCACTCGGGAGTCCCAGCTCACCAGGAACCGACCCCCCCGGGAATCTCCAAGCTGGAGCAGAGCATGTGCAGAGGCCACAGAGCGGAGGAGCACGCCTGGGGCTTCGAACAGCTCCGGCCTGGCCCTCGGCCAGGGTGGGCCAGGTCAGCTCCCCACGAGTCCGGTCCAGCAGGAGAGAAGTCTCCGTGGCGACCTGTGATCTGGTCTGTGGCTCTGGGGTTAACCCTCCGGGATGCTGGAGACCTACAGCCACCGGGGCTGAATCTGCTCTCACAGCCCACCTGGGGTATTTTTAAGGAGTTACTTGTCACTGGATTAGGCACAAACAGTTCCCATCATGTACGATGCATCATTAACTCAGGTCACCAACATTATCCTGATTTCCTGATCTCAGGAAGTGAATCCTTACGTATTTTAAATAAAAAGCCCCGTATGAGAATATGCTTGACCAAACTTATATCATTAACTCAGTTCACCAACATTCTCTTGATTTCCTGATCTCAGAAGGTGAATCCTCACGTATTTTAAAATAAAAGGCCCTGTATGAGATGCTCGACCAAACATCCTCAGGGAAGGGCAAGCACGTGCAGGTTTGAAAACCGAAGGACGGGGACCAACGAGGATTCAAAAGTCAGTGCCCCGAGCAACTGGGAAGCAGGCCGTGGGCCATGAAGGCTTTGGGGTGGGGGGGGGCAGAGTGTCCACGCTGCCGCCCACCTGAGCAAGGGGTGCAGGGGAGCCTTGAAGGGCCAAGGGCCTGCTGGTCACAGTTCAGGAAATACGCATCTTTGGATGAAGCAGCACATCCAGCACTGAACTTATTCGCATGGACAGATAGCGGGGTCGATGGAGGCCACGGAGAGGCTTTGGGAGCGCCAAACACGTGGTGCCTGGGCTCTGAGGGAGTGTGCCTGGGGCTGATCCTGCCCACCTGGCCGCGGCCTAGAGGGGACACGTGAGCGGCAGGCAGGCCCTGAGTGCAGAGCTCCGATGGAGGGCCTGGGCCTCCCCGGTGAGGCCTCCCTGAGGAAGGGTCCTGATGAAGCAGGTCCAGACCTGGGGAAGGGGGATGGCCCAGCAGGAGGCCTGGTGGCCCTGTTGGGGGCAGTTTAAACACATGGCACTCTGCCCAGCGACTCTGAGTGCCCAGCCTGGGTGGGAGGGACAGGGTGGTTCACACACACCCACCAGACGCGTACCCACCCAGCAAGGAGCCAGGCAGCTGGCAGGCCAGGCATGGAGGGGAGGGAGGCCCAGGGCGGCCCGGGGCCTCGGGTGTGGGCTCCGCGCAGAGTCTGGGCGCCTGGTCTCTGCGGACCTTTCATCACCAACGAATGTGGTTCTCCTGGGGACCCCGCTCCCACCCGGCCCGCGGCGAGCCTGCAGTGGGTGCAGCTCCCGAGCCCTGCCGGCCCGCCAGGCAGGGCGCCACGCGCAGGGGCCCGCGGTCCGAGTCACAGCGGGCAGAGCCCTAGGCCTGCACGAGCCGGCCGGGCCGGGCCCCTCTCCTGGGCCCTCACTGCCCCTGCCGTGGCCCAACGCCCGCCTCCACCCGGGCCTAAGGCTAGGTCCTCTCAGAAGCATTCCGTCCTTCTCCAGGTGCCTGGGCCTGTGGGATCTGCCCGACGAGTGGAGGCCGCAATTCAAACACACGCCCACCGGCCAGAGCCCCTGGGCCAGCACACACCGGAGACGGAAAGACAGAGACAGGTGAGAAAGACATGGAGAGACAGAGGGACCAGCACAGACAGACAGAGGAGGGGATGCGGGTGACCTGTCTGCAAACATCAGGCGCGAGCGGAATCGGCATTGGGTCCACGGCAGGGAAGGACCTCATCGAGGTGGGGTTCACAGCACAGGTGCCAGCGACTCTGAGAAAAGGGATGGACACTTTCTCTGGTGGGAAAACAGATTGTTTCCAGAGATGGGGCGAAGCCCTCCAGCCCTTGGGTCCCCCGCAGTGAAACCACGTGGGCGTGAGGGAAGGCCCAGCAGCTGGCAGGGAGCTCGCTGCGCCTGGGGGATACCTCGAAGCTGAGCCCGAGAAGCCTTCCTTCTGAGATTCCAGCCTTGTCATCCTGACGCCGCACACTGTCTCCCCAGGACGAGCCCTGTGATCCGGGTGTAAACGTGATGACTGAGGTTTCTGCCTTGGCCCCCCCAGCACTCACCCTCTGAGCCTCATCCACCAGTAAATTCACACGCGCAGTTTCCTCTGTATGAAACTGGAAACTTCAGACACCAAAGGCGAGGGTGTGGCTGATTCATACAATTTACAA